CCCTAGTTACGTATAAAATTATCACACATGCCGAAGTCGGTTATACAGTATTTTAATTTTCTAAAACTGTTGTTCTACGAATTTTTAGAATTATAAATACAGCTCGTAAAATTCTCAAATTATTATCCAGTCATCGAAATAATATTCTCTAATTTATAAAATTATCAAATCATAAAAATATTCACTGAAATGCGTCGGAAGTAAACATGTCCATAAGAAAATACTACTTTCGGTCCATTGTCAAAATTTGAAACATAGGGGACCAATCTGCTCATACTAAAAACATGGGGGACTAATCTAGATATTTTCTCGCAGACAGGTACCTGTACGTTTCAGCTCACGTCTCAAACTTTGGTAGCTCCGTTCTCGCTCGTCTAACGTCGAAATTCGTTTTCGTCAAAACGGTGACGATCCTGGGATCGTCCTCTTCACGATGGTACCAAGGTTTTAAAGTTTGGTCGAGGTCGACCACACCGGAGCCGCTGTCGAAGTTACGACCATTATATACGTGGGTTTGAGTTAGTTTTGATCGAAATCAAATTCGGAGATCGATTGGGATGAGTAATCACCTTCAAAGCAAGCCTAGGGTAGATACAGGCTGTTGAACCTCAGTTTATCGCTTAGATCATCCTTTGATAGCCTCGTACTTTCGTCGTCGAAGCTACTGGTATCGGGAGAGTGCGTGCGTGATAGGCGATGAGGTAGCTGCTAGTTACGTGGTCATTACTCGACAATGACGATAATGGCGACGTCGAGAAGCTTTTGGCGATTGTGTTGCTTTGTTGAAATGAAAATGGAAGGAGTGGATGGACACGTTGATGATGATGCAATGATGACAAGGTAAGGGTCTAATGTGCTAGTATTGAGAGAGGTGTGAGAGATGAGATGCAGATGGATGGCTTTCTCACACTCTTTTCCCTAAGTTTAATTTAAGGACCGAGAGAGAGAGGCTAGTTGCTATGGGTTGTCTAGCAGTAGCTAGCTGTCTCTAATAATAGAGTTTCACGAGCTGATGGGATAAGGTAAATGGGGTGTAAAGGACTTGTTGGGTGGTTAGTAGACAGATGGGTATAAATGAGATCAATACAATTATGCTAGGAAGGCTAATTTGTGAAAGGCTACTTTAAGTGTGAATTGGGGTGGCTGTAACGAGTGGATGAGGTTAATTCTCCCCCTTTGTTTTCTGTACTCGTTTAATTGTCGGTGATCATCAAGATTATATAGATGTTCTGGGTTATAGCTGTTCACTCTAAAATGTTCTCCCTGTCGATACGATCGCGTGGCCGCAAACGGCTCGTTATTTCGACGTCAAACGAATAAGATACGTTCGTTTTAGCTTTAGGTACGCAAACGTTACTCTAACGATAGGTTCCACTATGGACTAACTTATCTCACTCGTTTGGACTCGGAATTAAGGTCTGTAAAATTCTTCTACGTGATCGTAGAAGAATTTCTTAACTTAGAGTGTCGAGTTTAGATACTGATTATTGATAAATTGACCCATAATATTCTTACTTAAAATGTCATCAATCAATAGTTTCAATCGCAACTTACTTGCGTAGGAATGGAATTCTTGTTTCCTCGTAATTTTTAATTTGTTTAAAATTTCTCGAAGTTTGGGGTGTTACAGAACCACTCTGGCATGGTACTTGCCTTTCTCTTGCTTCCATCTCGCTGTATCCCTTCTTCATGCACAACTGTGTCAGCCCTCTCTATTCGAAGAACCGCTTGATAAATCTCCTCCCGACTGTTCCACACCAACATGCTCAACTACTTCTTAAGGGCAGGCTTCAGACTCTCCAAATAGTAGGCACGATGAGCTGCCGCATCCTGGAACTGGGGTCTCCCGTAGGGCAGCAACTTCTCGAACCTAGAGGTGTACTCTGCAACACCCTCCTCTCCTTCATTGCCCCATCTCTGCTTGATCAGCAAAAATTCTCTCTTTTTGCTTAGTCGATAGGCTTCTGGTACATAGTGATCCCAGAACACCCGCACCAGCTCTAGCCAAGTGAGAGCTGGTGGGTCCTCCTAACTAGCTGGCTGGGTGCGCCACTAATCGTATGTTGAATCCTAGAGCAGGGATACTGTCAGTAGCACCTTGTCCTCATCATCCCCCCTCATTTCAGTTAACGTGCGCGTGACCTTCGCTAGCCATTTTTCCACTTCACTCGCATCTTTCGAGCGGTCCCCATCAAACTCCACCAATCCTTGCCTCCGGAAAGCCACATAATCCGGGGGTGGCCTAGCTGCCGCGTGGTTAATATTGGTATTACTTGCTCTGAAAGTAAGTAGTACCTTCATTAGAACCACATTTATTTGTCTTATCATGCCTGAGTATACTGGGGACTCTATAAACCTTTTCAAATCGATTGGCCAACCATTTTTCTTGAAATTTCCTTTTTCCTTTAAAACTAAACCTTTGAAAACCCATATCGTCACTCCAGTATTCCTTGGGGACCAAGAAACAAAGGAATGTCGGCTCTGATACCAAAATATAATGATCCGTTCCTTTTTGAAAACCAAACCATTATTCAACCCACAAACCGGTTATTTCGGAGCAACCCAGAACAGGTTTACAAGTCAAAACTGAAAATCAACAATGACAATGTTTAAGATTCTCAAGTGAAATTCCCTAAACAACTTGGCGAACTCAATCCAAAGAAACTAAACATAAAACACATTCTTGAGTTTCCCAGTATACTCATTAAGACATGAAAATAAAGACAAACATAATGGAAGGTCCCATCTTATTACCCAGATCATGTTGACATCATCAAGATTGTCGCGACTGCTCTCCTCGGGTAACCTCCTCTTGATGGATGCGTCCTCTTCCCCTCTCTACACCTGGCGAGTGAGAAGGGGTCAGTCTCGTTGTTACTCCTAAGGTCTTCGCCCTAAGAAACTCCTTACTAAACACATTATTGGAGTTCCCGGATTAGCCGAAAGTCGTTCTCGCTTTCATCCTTTATACTTTATTCTCAAACCAGTCTTTAAGATATATTTATTTCTATCTTATCTTATATGATTTCTCTACTTATATCCTTAATCCATAGACACCAAAACACTAGGGACCACTGCGTTACGTATCATCGTCCGGTGTCCCTACCCTAGTATGCCAACCGTGTTACGTCTCATCGTCCGGTTGCATACCCAGTTCAGCAATGACACTGCGTTACGTCTCGACGTCTAGTCCATGCTCGGTCAACTACTGTGTTATGTCTCGCCATCCAGTAGTGACCCCAACATACTCGATCAACTGTTGCGTTACGTCTCGCCGTCCAGCAGTGATCCGGTCATCTATCGCATCCAGTAGTGGCCCAACCGCCCGGGGGTTCATCTTACCATTAACCAACTATTACAATCATACATTCATACATAGCACAACGTGTGCCTCCACCCTTATAGGCGGTGGGTTGGCTCACACACATATCGCGCATTACTCAAAAATTAACTAAATAATAACTTACCCCCTTTACACTCACCTCTAAACGATGACTCCTCGATTCATTCCTCGAAGAAATACCTCCTTAGCCGAATTATCTCGGGAAACCTCTAGAACGTGCCTAGGACTAGATTGGATGACCCGAGACGTTGATCTCCTCGTTGATCGATGTTCGAACCCTCAAACCTTAACGTAACCGCTAGGGACACGAGAGGGATGGGATCGGGGTCGAGAAACAGGGTGGGGGCTACGGGCAGCGCGACTGCTTCCTTCTTTCTATTCAATGATGTGGAAATTATTAAGGGGGCGGGGTGGGTTTTCTTTGCTGGGCGGGGAAGTGTGGTGGGGAATGGTTTCGAGATGGGTGGGGGATTATTAGGGGGGCGAGCGACTTCCCTTTGATGTATATTTGTTTTTTATGATAATACTAATAATAATATAATAGTTATTATTATTATTATTATTATTATTCATAATCCGCGGTTGCAACCCTTCGTACATAATCGTTAACCCAATCGACCATTTATTATGGTCGAACCCAAATCTAAAATACCGAGGTGTTACGATCACTATTATTAATTAATAGTTTAATTAAATAGTATTTAGTTGTTATTTAATCACATAGCCCATTGGATTTGGCTATTCTCATTTGTTATTGCTTTATCAAACTTTATTTATCAGCATTGCCAACTACATTCTACATGACATAACTACATAAGTGCATAACAATCTCATCATCATTGTTCATCCATGAGACCATGTCCACATTCCACAAACAAGAAACAACAAATGTCAAAGGGAAAATATCAATACATAACTAACAAATTCAAGTATTCAACATAGTCATAATTCACAACTCACAAATACCATAATCAACTAAAGTGCTAAATCCAACACTAGCTCAAACTTAAAGTAGAAATCTCCAGCAACACCAACATCAACATAACAACCAATAGTTCCTCACTTGCCACCATAAACACTAGCTCCTTCATCTCCAATGGCACTTGAACCACCAACATCATCAAAACTGTGCTGCTTCAAAGTGGTGATAAGAGCATCATCGCCATCATTCTCCCTAAGGATGGCAATAGGTTGGGTTGAGTTTTGTCAAATCCAAACGCAAACTCAAACCCATGGGTATATCCACCAAAAAAACTCTGGGAAAAATTCATTGGGTTTGGAAAACTCAAACCCAACCCAACCCGCTAGGTATCCACGGGTTCATGGATACCCATGGGTTGTGTGGTAAAAAATGCACAATAACTAGTTCCTATCTAAATAAAAGTCTAACATCATTCTTCACATACAAATTATCCATACAAAAAACACCAATCTAGAGCATACACGCAAACCACATATTATCCATACAAATTGTTCAACTGTGAAGATAAAACATCCATAAACAACATGATTAATTAAAAGCTTCTTTCCCCTTGTCAACTAAGCTTCCCCACACTCCACTCCATAATATCAACTTCATTCTACACAATTAGGAAGAACAAATTAGACGTGTATCCAAAAACATAAGGAAGATTAGTTGCTTAAGGAACATATATTGCTTAGAATATTAAATATATTGGTAACGCATGAAGCAGAATATGGATCTTGGTCAACATTAATGGTGGAGTAAGTCATGGGTCTATCAATTGATTCCAATTCATCTGCAAATAGAATAGCAAGTGAGTGGCGGAGTCCATGAGTGGTGACTGTGCGGATTTGCAGATGCGAGGTCGAGCGAAAGGGGCAATGTAGTCAAAATCCCTATTTTAATCTTAAGATCTTACAATTTTACGATCTTACCTATGGGTTCCGATCCTGAATTTACAACAAAATCTTTGAACCTTTAAATCCCATAAAATCTCGACTAAAACTTTAAAATACTTAAAATCTATGATTTTTTACGATTTCAATGTTCATGTCAATTGGAGCAAAATCAAGTCGGTTCCAGTTTTGCCAACAAACTGGGTCAAGTTCACTTCCCCCGGGCCAACACATGGACAACACAACTCTAACCTGACATGCAACCCTCAATTGGTTTTCGTTCTCTTTTTTTTCTTCTTCTACCAGACGACACCCAACTCCTTCTATCAACGATTTCCTCCATCACACTCTTAATTAGATCGTTGTTTGTTCCTCCATCACCTTCGCAATTAGCCCAATCCCCATCCTTGCAAGCTTTTGTTAGTCTCCCAAACCCTTAGTGCCACCATCCTCAACCTTCTTTTGATCAATAAGGGAATGTATCAATCAATGAGTTGCCTTTATAGGATGATGGCGATCAAGAAAATATGGTTGGTGTTGAAGTACTTCAAGTGATGCTCAGAATAATGATATCATTTCTCAACAAAAAGACAAGGATTTTGAAGTGAAGCTTGTTGATTCCTTTGGCCCGCTTCAAAACCTGAGAATATGGTCGAGGCACTGTAGTCAAAAGTGAGTTTCAACGTAGAACGTTTTGCTGATCTAGAAGCGTAAAATCGTAAGTTTTTAAGTTTTAAAGCGGAGTTTTCAACTACATAAGTTGTAAAAAGTAAGATTTTGTGTAGAAGCGTTTTAGCGACCTAGAAACGTAAAATCGTAAGTTTTTAAGTTTTAAAGCTTGATTTTGACTACATTGGGTCGTGGTACTCTCTATAAATTTGTCAATAGCTTCAAACTTCTTGTTGGAGTGTGTAACAAATTGCCCTACCAAGTCTTCAAGTTTAGAGACTCGACTATCGGAGGGTCCACGTTGTTCTTGATATGCCCCTCGGTATGAGGGTTGACTCGGCCTTGGATAAGTATTTTGCATAGGAGTTTTGAGATTGAAACCCTGGAGGCTTCCTATCCATTGGAGAAGACCAAAAAAAGTTAGGATGATTCCTCAAACCTGGATTATATGTTGAGCTACAAGGATTATTTCCTCGAGATTGTCCTCTAACAAAGTTGGTTTGCTCAAATTGTAGTGATGCCTCAATCATAGACTTACACTCCTCCATAGTATGAATTGAGTTGCCACATCAATCACATTTCATAAGTTGCTTCCCATTGCCTTTCATAGATGACGCAAATTGATCAATATTCTTGGAAAGTTCTTGTATATGAGCAGCTAACGATGATGGTTCTTCGACCTTCATTAAACTTCCCTTCTTTACACTCTTGCCTCTCCTTACGTCTCCCCAATTATAGCTATTTAGTGTCATCTCTTTAATCAATCGTTGAACCTCACTGACTTCTTTGTTTCTAATGGCACCTCCACTAGCCGCATCGATGAGGTTCCGTGACTCCTTTGTCAACCCGTTATAAAAGTTTTCCACTTGTAACCAATTCGTCAAGAGGAGGATGTAAATCTTTTCCATGATTCAAACAATGGCTCATCCTCCTCTTGACGGAACATAGTAATCTCACTTCTCATTAAAGTCGTCTTAGAGGGTGGGGTATACCTTGCGAAGAACTTGTTGCGTAGATCATCCCACGAGGTATGGAGTGATGTGGTTAGTTATTCAACCATTGTTTTGCCGCTCCATTCAAAATAAATGGACATAACCTCCTGAATTGCCTCTTGAGGAACCCCATTTACCTTGATTCCATCTGTCAACTCGTAGAATGACTTGATATGTGCATGAGCATCTTCACTCATCATCCCATGTAATTGAATTTGAAGCATAGAAATTGTGCCCGGTTTAATCTCATAGTTGTTGTTAGGCACTGTTGCGTGAAGAATAGGTGATTGAACATTATCCACACTTGGCATTGAGTAAGAACCCATTGTTATAGGCCTTGGTGGAATTTGAGCTTGTTGATCTGCCATTGGTGGAGATTGTATCTTGCAACTCTTCTTAGGTTCCAAAGGGTTCTCTCGATTTCTGTATCAAGAGGTAATATCTCAAAAGAATTCCTTCTTCGCATACAAAGGTGCTACAAGACACAAACTCAACAACCCGTGACGCACAAAGTTGGATAACAGAACACAAAATGAATAAACTACGAAAGTAAATAAAGGGTAATGTCTATTTTTTTATCCAAATCTTCCGAGATTCTTTTATACAGTGTAGTCAAAATCGCGCTTTAAAGCGTAAAAACGTATGATTTTACGTTTCTGGGTTAGGAAAACATTTCAAATCACTAATAAAATCGTTTTTCACTCAAATCGGTCAAAAGCGTAAGTAGAATCGTTAAAACCAGTGAAAACTGATAAAAACGCATTTTTAGACCGTTTTTTTACGATTCCAAGCTAACGAGAAAACTATCGCCACTTAGTCAAAACGTCTCCGTTTTATGTATTTAAAAAAGGAGGGGAAGGGGTGTCTATCAGGTTGTGGCTTCCAATCCATTCCCCCGCAATCCCTAATTCTCTTCGTCTCCACTCTCCACTCTCCACCAGACTAGAACCCACCCTTCTCGAAGAAACAACCCGTCGCCGCCGTCGCCTTCCACCGAAGCTCCAGGACCTGTCGCACTCGCCAGCTCCAGCACCTTGTTGCCTGTCGCACTCGTTTCGTCGCCTGCTGCCACTCGCTGGCGCCACACCAGGTAATCACTTGCTGTCTCTTCCTTGTCCTAGGCTCATAGCAACCAGAAGTTCACTTTGGGTGATTTAATTTCAATTCTCGATTTAATTTCAATCCTAGGCTCCTAGCAACTTGCTGTCCCGTTGTGGATTTAATTTCAATTCTGGAAGTTCACTTTGGGTGATTTGTCCCTGCTTCCCTCTCGTTGTCGTGATGCGGCTATGCTTCTTGCTTCTTTGTGCCTGTCATCTGTACTTGCTTTTGCTTCGCTTTCTCTGTTTTTGCATAAGCAATGGTAGCTTGTTAATAGCGAGTACTGAGTACTACCCTTTTGATTTCCGAAGCTGATGTGGTGATTGTGTTTCGATAATTTTGACCATGGTGGATCGGTGACATCTCATTAGCTACTATGGTTTGACCTACAGATATTCCTGTGAATCCACTCCTAGCTTGCGTTTACCTGCGTTTGGTTCTATCTTTGCCTTTGGACTAGAGATTTTGTCTCGGCAATTCCATCTCATTTAATATCTAATTCTATTCAACAAGCTCACATTGCGTATGAATTAGGTACCGAAGTTGTTTTAATTTTTATGAAATAATATATAATGTGAACAGTGTCTGTGTTTTGGAAATCAGATGTAGAGATTTTGTGATATACAGCATGTTGAGATGGTTTGAGCAAGTTGAGATTTACAACCCTTATTCTTTATTCTATGCAGGATTTGCAATTTCAAGTATGTCGAGTGGGGTACGTGCAAGCAATACTGTCATTATGTAAACTTAAACAAGCTTGTGAGAATCTAGTAACTAAACTCGTTTGTGGGTTACGATTTATGTTTATGAAATTATTGTTAAGATGTTATGAGTTTGTTTTAATTTTGACATGAATTGCATGTATTTATTCTTTTATCTAAACTTCGTGCACTCATATTTTACATAGTTTATGTCGTACTTAACAGATTTTTAACTATTATACATGATGCATAAAAAACTTACTCTTTTACGCTTTGATTCACCGCTTTTCGATTTTACCCCTTTCCTGGGGTTGTTTTCCAGAAATAGCACCTTTTAAAAAAAAATTACAAAAATAGCACCCATTCGAAAAAATTTACACTAATAGCACCCTTTTTAATGGACCGCACCTTAGAGGTGCGTTTTATATTTAAACCGCACCGTAAGGGTGCGTTTTATACATAAACTGCACCTCTAAGGTGCGTTCCCTATTTCTGGACCAAAACCGCATTTTGGCCAAGCGGTTTTAGGTCTGACCTACAGAAACCGCTTGGCCGAGGTGCGGTTTTGGCCTGACCTATTAAAACCGCATCATGAAGGTGCGGTTTGTTTCTCCCAAACAAAACCGCACCCTCATGGTGCGATTTTGCCATACAAACTGCACCTTGGAGGTGCGGTTTTGGTCAATCAATTTCTGACATACCATGCAGACGTAACAGACGTGGGTCTGCATGGGCCTGCATGGCAGACGAAAACCGCACATCTAAGGTGCGGTTTTCATCAGTGATTTTGCCTATAAAAGGCCTCCCGGACAACCACTTCTCTTCACACCTCTCCTTCTCCCTTTTCAATTTTCTGTTCTAGCTCTATATTTCTTTAGTAGTTTTGAGATTAACGTTAACGCGTAAGTTTATTTAGTATTACTTTTTATTGTTATTTTTTATTTTTGATTTTTATGATATTAACTGAACTACGATTTTATCGCAGATGGCATTCCAAAAGTTCACGCTTGGCTTACGGTGGAATGGTTACACGGAAGAGACCGGAAAGGGGGTCACCTACGTAGGTGGCAATTTTCAGAAGATAAAGATCGCTACCAGACCGCTGCTTGAAGACCTCCATCAAATGTGCACTAACGTTACTTGCATGGATGGCACGAGAAGAGTTGATCGTATGGTGTACCGATATCCAAACAGAGAAAGTGGGTCATTGTGGCATGAGGAATATCTCATAACCACTCAGGATGAGGTAGATGCCATGCTCGAATTCATGAGGTCCAACAATCTTTCCAAAGCCGAGATGTTCGTTTACACCGAGCCGGTCGTAGGCGTTGGAGGTTTCTGCTTTTAGGTAGAATCGCGCTTTTGACTGCATTGCTTTTATATGATCCAAACCTATTAAAATGCTATTAATTATCCAAATCTTTCGTAATGCATCAAAATATTAGCCATTTTTACGTTATCGTTAATAATTTTGTAACTCTTTTCTTAGTTAAAATACGAAATTTTTGGAATGTTGACCTTCATGTGTCTCTTCCAAGTCAGTATCATATTGTCAAGTCAATATTACTAACAAAATAGCTAACTGAAAGTTAACATTTGGCTAATTCTTAGTATTTCGATAGGTTTGGATAATATAAAAGAATCTGAAAAGGTTTGGATAAAAAATAGATATTGCCCTAAAAAAACACAAACACAAAACAAAACAAAACAAATAAAGGCTAAACTAAAAATTCAATGGTTTTCTACTAGTTAGCAAGGTTCCCCGGCAACGACGCCAAAAAGCTTGATCACATTCATTTGTGTAGATTATTGTCAATGGTTAACACGTGTCAATAACTACCCCATCCTAGGCCAAGTTTAACCTAGAATGGCGTTGTCATATAGTGGCAATCAAGCTCGTATTCACTCGAGTGTCGATACCCTAGCCTACTTCCCATGTTATTGTTATCTAGCCGATCGCTTTAAGGGTTTGTGTTAGAGGATTCGAGCAAACTAACTAGTTAAGAGAGTAAATAAATATAAAAGCAGGCACTTCGGGGAACTATCCCTCACAATAGCCAAGAACTACTATGAAATGTCTAGATAATTAGGGTTTGTCGAATGTGGTGAGTGATATCTTTTCGTGGGCTTTTGTGGTTATCCACACGCCTCCGAGTATGCCTCCCCTAAACCCATGTAAGTCACCTAGATCTAGGCTATTATATCTGGGGCATTAAGAATATAGCTTCTTTCAATGGGTACTACCCACCGTCCACACCGAGGTTTTATCCCAAGTTATATCTAGGAAGGCATCCCATGGCAGAGGTTCGGTTGCCTCGTCCACCATAGGATCCTATTCATACATCTATCCTCAATTTTCATGATGGTTCATACCTTTCTAACCCTAAAACTTAATACCAGTGTAGAAGTTCAAGTAGGCTAGTAGAGAAGATTAGGGAGACTTACTCAAACACAATCTAGAAAAGCATTCAAATCAAGTAGATAAACACATTTATTAAAACCCTAAAATATCCATTCATTACACAATAACCCTAAAACTAGGGTTTGGGGTTTAGAACCCCTAGTACCTTAGAGGACTACTCCAGAAAAGAAGGAAGAAGATACATAGAAGAGGTTGAAGAAGACTAGAGGTTGAAGAAGATATCGATGAATGATATTTTATCGGATAGCATCCGATATACAGTTCCCCAGCTGCTGCCCTCCACCAACTCTTGACTCATTGCTGTTGCTAAATTCCTTCCACTTCAGCATTGACTTTGCCATGTCAGAGTCAACTGATATTTGAAATAATAGAAAGTGAACGATTTGTCTATTATATTGTTTTTGCAAAAGTTTTGACTATTATTTTGTTTAAGATGAAAATTTTGACCATATTATATTTTTATCTAGATAAAAACAAACAAGGATGTAGAACAATCATGGTTGTCAAGCCGATGACATTCCGGCCGGTACCCGTTACGAAAGCGGCTGAAATGCCTCCAGTATGATCGATTTCCTCCTTTATACAAAACTATGTCGTTTTGATTAATTTAATTAACAAAAATATAATTTTTGATTTGTATATTAAATTTGAAAGTTAAATCTTGATTTTATTTGTTGGATTAAGTACGAATGTTTAGATGTTTATGTTGTTTGTTAGATTCTAGTATAAACTTTTGGATGCTTGCGTTAAATGTTGTATTTAAATATGATAATTTTTCATTTTGTTTGGAATGTTGTATTTATTTAAATATGAATGTAAATTTTAGGGAGACTATCTTCAAATACGTATTTACAATGTATAAATTCATTCAGCACTAATGACAAGGTTTTCAACCGTTGTTCGCCTCGTGAGATAACGTGGTTTGATCCAAACCCAATGAGGAAAATGGGCGCCATATATCCGCAAGTCGACTCGCAGCTAGGTCATGAGTTGGAGGTCACACGACATCGTTTTTTCCTTTGGTTTGCAAAATACGTCGCTTTTCCGGTTTTCCTCTTTGCCTAACCCAAAATTTGGAATTCTAAGTTGAACTTTTAAATACTGATGTCATATGAAAGTATTCGAATTTTCGTTATATGTTGGATCCTAATACGAATTATTATTTTGGTGTATTTGTATTTTATTACTCATATATTAGATGAATTTGATATAATTTATAAATGTATATAAAATATAAAGGTTAATTGCATGGTTGGTCACTGAGATTATAAAAAACTTTCAAGTTTGGTCACTCGAAATATTTAAATCCATTGGTGATATTTCACTTTACGAAAACCGTTCACGTTTGGTCACTCTCCGTTAGCTGAAGCCTAATCAACACTATTTAACCCGAAAATAGTCTCACCCGACCCGCCACGTCATTGAGACTCGCCATGTCATCTAAACTTACCCAACCCTCTAACCAAATCAGGCCCAACCCGACCCACCAACTAAACTACCCACTAAAGATTAAATCCCTATTTCTAAAACACATCAACACCCTCCCATCTCCATCCCGACGCCTTTCTTCCTCCCGATTTTCTTCATCTCTAGCTCTGTTCACGAATTCACCGACGACGAAGGAGGGATGGAGCCGGGACGAAGGTCATGCTCTTTCTTCCGCCGCACCCAAACATCCTCCAGATCCACGAAGCCTTCGACTTTGAAGACTCCCTCACCCTCATCCTCGACCTCTGCGAGCCCTACACCCTGTACGACAAGGTGATCAAGAGTAATGGCGGCCTCCCGGAGCCTAAATTCGCAGGGATCATGCCCCAGCTGCTCAAGGTCGTCGCCCACTGCCACCGATTCGGTGTCGTCCACCGCGACATCAAGCCGGACAATGTGCTCTTCGATCGAATGGGTCTTGACAGCGAGTCCGGGTCGCTGCTGAGCGGGGTTTACGGGACGCCATACTACGTGGCGCCCGAGGTCCTGATGGGGAGGGATTACGGCGAGAAGGTCGATGTGTGGAGTGCCAATGTCGTTTTGTATGCGATGCTCTCCGGGATCCCACCGTCTTACAGCATTCCGAGGCTGGGTTTTGGCTGGCAGTTCATTATGTTGGCTGGGTTCCACGCGGATGCGCTGGTGGTGGACACTTTTGCGCAGGATTTCACACGCAAAGGGATGCTGGCTTATGTTGAGAGGATACAGAGGGAAGAGGGGAGAAATGGGGTTGATACTCTGGCGCATCAAAAGTGGTCTGTTGCTAATTTCTAAGACAGGTACCTCAAGACTGTTCAAGGAGGGATTTCTTCCACTGTCGCCCTGGGCAAAGGTTAGTGCAATAGTTTCCTTTGGAAAATTTGAAATTAGTGTCATTCCTTCTTCCATTGGAGATTTTGGTCCATTCTTATGGGTTTCTTTTTGGGTTTGGTGTGGTAATTTTGCAGGGGTGACTGAGGAGCAGTTCAAGGAGACATGGACAAGGCCAGGAGCCATGGAAATGGGTGGAGCTGGAACTGAAGTGGTGGCCAAGTCGAGGATGTAAGAACCGAGAGAATCATGGTGCTATGGAAGAAGGGTTTGCTTATGAAGAGGGCTGGGAATGCAACCAGGATCCTGACGTTACGAAACTGAGATGAAGGACTTCCTCCGTGTTTATAAACATCTCTCCTTGAACTCGTGAACAGAGGTGGAGAGGAAGAAAATCGTGAGGAAGGGAGGAAGGAAGGCGTCGCGAGAAGGGGAGAGTGTCGATGTGTTTTAGAAATTAGAGATTTAATCTTAGTGGATAGTTTAGTTGGTGGGTCGGGTTTGGTTTGATTAGAGGGTTTAGTAGGTTTAGATGACATGGCGGGTCTCAATGACGTGGTGGGTCGGGTGAGACTATTTTCAGGTTAAATAGTGCTTATTAGGCGATTCCGTCCGCCACGTCATCACTTAACGGACTTCTTTAACGGAGATGGACGACAGCTAACGGAGAGTGACCAAACATGAACGGTTTTCGTAAAGTGAAGTACCACCAATGGATTTAAATATTTCGAGTGACCAAATTTGAACGTTTTTGGTAATCTCAGTGACCAACCATACAATTAACCCTAAAATATAATGACGTTTTTATAGGCTGAACCAGGCTAAAGCGATTGAGCTATTAACCTTCAACCCACTTACTCAATCGTGTCGATGCTCTAAACCAGATTGACAACCTTAGTTAATGATTTCCCACTTCTCTACATGTTTTGCTAAACTTATACAAATTGGTTGTACCACTTGTTGGAGGCGTAACCGTACAAAACTAAACTGTTTGACAACCTTGAGTAGGGTTGAAAGTTTGGTACAAGTATTTGAGATATACCGAATACCGCACCGAACTTATCACTATTTGGTATTACCGAATACCAATTTATTTTTTAGGGATCGGGATTGTGATTCATTTTGGAGTGCTATTCGGTATTCGGGATTGGGATAAGTATATACCAAAATAAACTGAGATACCGAGAAATAAGAAAAACTAAAAATTAATGAAATATAGCACACAACTTTTGGTCGTTCCCCACCATGGTTGTCATGCCGGTGGCATGCCACCCAGTTCAACCTGGTTCAACCTGTGCCGGTCATGAAACCAGCATGACACCACCGGTATGACCAGTATGATCGAATTACACATTTTAAGTAAAATGACATCATTTTAATGAATTTAATGAATAAAAAAAATAATTTATTATTCATTTTATGAATGTAATAGTTAAAACTTAAAAGTTGATGATATTTGTTGGATTGTAACTAAATTGTCCACAAATATGTTTTATATATATGATTAAATACATTGGATGTTAATCGTTTTCATATTTTCTTAAACCAGCATGAACCGACACAAACTGGTTATGCCACCGGTCGTACCATTCCACTTGCCAACCCGACACAACGGTATAAACCGGTTTGACAACCTGGTTCCCCACTCTTTCGTAACTCACAAGTCCCTATCCAATTAAATTTTGGCTTTCCAGTTTAAGTCAATCTCGTCTCTCATCTAATCTCTTGTTATTTTCATAACATCAAAAAGAAAATGCTAGTATTCGTCGTCTCTCAGCCTCCAATTCGTCGAATTAAAGATTTTCAATGACAAGAACTTGAGTTGTCACCTCTCCACCCTTCCCCCTATCCATGTCCTAGCTCTAGGCAAACTCCACACTCTTTGCTTATTCTCTTTGCCCTAAAATAAACAATCAAATCTAATTTATATATATTTAATAATTAGTTGCAAAGATAATTAATTTTTTATTCGATAATACTGATTGAGATATCGAAATATTTAGGGATTGAGATTGAGATACCGAAATTATTTAGGAATTGAGATTGATATTAGAAGGGAATTCAGTAATTAGGATTTTGATACTTGGTATTGGATACCGATATTGTGCCTATTTCCACTCCTAACCTTGAGGACAATATTGGAAAACGGAGAGGGACAATATCGTCAATACCCACTCCCCGCTGTAGCACGCCTGAGAAAACCCTAGTATAATTAAGGATTTGAGAGCTCTGAGTTGAATCGTTCGCTCCGAAAGACGCACAGCGGCCATCGAAAATCCCTTTCTTCCAGCCATCTCAAAGAAGCTCGCAATGGTCTGCTTCTAATTTCGCATCTCTCTCCCTTTCTGTTTGTATTCGTTAACTTCGCGATGTAGCCATTACTGACTTCGAAATCCTCTATGTAATGCTCGAACGCAGGCGTCAGAGAGGAAGCTCAGTAACCCTATGAGGGAAATCAAGGTCCAGAAGTTGGTCCTCAATATCTCCGTCGGTGAGAGTGGAGATCGTCTCACCAGAGCCGCTAAGGTCCATCTTCTTCCCCTTCTTTGCGCTTCTTTTCAATTTTTGGCCGTGTCTCTTCTCTTTTCTTTCACAGTTCCAGTGTCGGCCTCTGATATATTCTTTCTTGGTTTCGTTGCTTACAGGTCCTGGAACAGCTCAGTGGACAAACCCCTGTTTATTCCAAAGGTGCTTCTTTTCCCTTTTCGTCTTAGCTACTTGTTATTGTTTGGAATGCGCTGGTCATTAGAAGTCGATCTGTGTTTTTCATTAAGGATTGAAGTTGTTCTAGCAGAGCTCTTAATTGAGCTGAGAAATTGGGTTTGGCTTAGTTGGCTTTTCACTGGGTAGTCAGGAGCTTTCTGATGAAATGAACCATGAACTGCTTGTTATACTGTGGGTTAAATTGTGTCCAGTTTTTTTTTTGTTCGTGTATGAGCAGCCTTCATTCCCTTATAGATTAAGGGTTCAGAGGATGTATATTGAGTATAGTTTTAGGCATTTATAGCACTAAAAGTATGGCTGGACATCTTTGTATGTGGTTTGGGATTTTTGTTTGTTCCCTAACATGATATTGGGGTTAACTTTATGCTCTCGTTGACCAATAGCTAGGTACACTGTTAGGTCCTTTGGTATCAGGCGTAATGAGAAGATTGCCTGCTATGTCACCGTGAGAGGGGACAAGGCGATGCAACTTTTGGAAAGTGGCTTGAAGGTCAAGGAATATGAATTGCTGCGAAGGAACTTTAGTGACACTGGCTGCTTTGGGTTTGGTATTCAGGAGCATATTGATCTTGGCATCAAGTAAGTTTGGTTAGCCAGATCTCATCGAAGCTCTTTAATTTATGTATTGATGTTTGGTTTGAAGTTGTAAGCTCCTTTGTTTTGCATTCTGGTTGTCAAATATTCTAATTCTATAAGTACCAGAGGGTTTAGACTTTAGAGGCATGATCAAATTGACAGACTCACTTCTGGGGACCAATAGACCTACAGCGATCTTGAAATTTTACTATTTGTCTTGCTGCTCTAGTCTTTCTGCTAGTAGCAAAGATATTCTTACTGCATTTCATTTCTTCCTTGATATGCTTTCACTCAATTCAGTGGATATTAGTTTTCCTCTAAAAAAGATATCGTTATTTTGGATCAATTTTTTTATGAATACAATAGTTGATGCATCAAATGAATGCCCGCGCCATTGCTTACTAATGTGTGCAGTTTGTTGGTGATTTTCATTTCTGTTAGGATTAGTAGCCTAATTCTCTAACTAATTGTTTTTCAGGTATGATCCCTCCACTGGTATCTATGGTATGGACTTCTATGTCGTCCTGGAGAGAGCAGGCTACCGTGTTGCCAGGCGCCGTAGGTGCAAGACACGTGTTGGTATCCAGCACAGGGTGACAAAGGACGATGCAATGAAATGGTTCCAGGTCAAATATGAGGGTGTGATCCTTAACAAGGCTCAGAATATTACTGGTTGATTGACCACTAGACCTTAGCGAAGGGGAGGGTTTTCCAGTTTTTGAGGGATTCTGTTAGCTGTATTACAAGTTTGCTCTAAATTTTTAATATGCAACCTTTTGTGTTTGTGACTGTTTAATGATATGGCGTTCATTGTATCCTGTGGTGTTCCTCTCATTCATCACTCATTGTGAACAGTTGCCTCTGTATCGATTTATTTGATGAAACTAGCCTAGGTTCTCATATTTGCAACTTGAAACTAAACACGCATTCACTTTTCTTGCTGCTACTTGATAGTAATTCTTGGAGTGATAACTGTCATTTAGGTTATCTTTTGGGTTTAATGTTCTTCTGGATTAAATAATCGAAATTGGATTGTTGAGTGAGTAATTTCACGGCTGTGTAACAATATGGGTTGTATTGGATTGCACCAGACCAAATTGGTGTTTGGACCGAATCATACTGAATTTAGGTTCTTGGTCCTATGTTGATACTTGATATGAATGTATAGAAAACCATACTAAATAGTGCCATATGCTTTGTTATGGTGTGTGCAATCTGTTCAACTCCTAAAATTACTCGGGTTGACGTGGAGTTAAATGATACAGAGTGTTAGAAACCCAATTATTGGGTTATTTCGGTATTCGGACTTATTTGTCGTTTTATTTATGTTTGGGGACGATTGGACATTATTTTTTTTGGGGGGGGGGGGGGGGGGGGGGGGGGGGGGGGTTGGGTGCATTTGAGGATTATTCGGATTAATTGGGTTAAGTTAAGTAGTTTGGGTAGTTTGGGAATTATTCGGGTTATATATTTGTAATTAGTGGGTAATTGTTCATTAAGCAAATAATAATAAGAATTCCCCAAACCCTAATCTTCTTCCCTCTCCTCCCTCACTCGACGTTACCCTTCTTCCTCAACTTCCCTTCTCCTCGTCGGCCACCCTAGGCCACCGACTCCTCTTTCTTCTTTCCCCCAAATTCTCGTCCTACTCTCTTCCCCTACCTCAATCCATTCACAACCTTCCCTTTGCTCAACCCTTGATTCACAAACCCTAGACGCAAGGCGCCTAGATCATTAGCTTTCTTACAGTGGTATCAGAGCCTGGTTAGCGCCTGGATCAGCAGAAAGATGAGTTCATCAGATCACTCCCCAGAGAGAAGGCAGCAGGACACAGTGACCGTGGAGGACATCACGCACGAAGAGGACATCAAGCGGCTGTTGAGGACAATGGCGGATCATCAGACCAGCCTCCATGTTCGCATGGGAGAGGTGAACGAAACTCTCCAAGAGATGGCCAAAAGGAACAGTGACGATCTGAGGTCACTGATGGAGCTGATGAAGGCAACCCTAGCGCCTCAAGGGCTGCCCGCACCACCACAGCAGGCGGGAGAAGCGGCGGCGGGGACCAAGGTGATCGCCGCCACGGCGAACCTGCCGGCGGTACCGACCGAGGCGATGACGGCGGCGCGGCAGCTCGCGGGAGGAGGCGCGCACGGCGGCGGCGGCGAGGGCGCTGATCCTCAGGGAGGCGCGGCGAGGCGTGCGGGCCCAGGGTCGGGCCAGGGCAATCATGGGCCGGGTCTGCTACCGACTCCGACAGCTCAGGAGATGGCGGCAAGGCGCGGGAAGGCCAAGATGCCGGGCTACGATTCGGTGGAGATGGACTTCGAGCCCATGGATCAAGAAACGGGGCGAGGTCGGACCCAGAGTAATCGTAGGCCGAATGAGAGGCGGGCCGTCTGGGCCCGAAGTGCTGAAGAGATGAGCCTGATTGACCAAGCCCGAGAGTGGGCCGAACCGGAATCTCAGAGGGGCCCAAGACGCGGCGACCGGCCGCCGGATCGGTCGTAAATGGGTGATGGTTGGCTGAACCGCGAGGGGCGACCCGGAATCGGGCGGGCCGGCCGGAGGGAGCTGGGCCGGGGCGGCATGAATCGGACCGTGTCGGACCTGGCCGAACCGAACCTAGTCGAACCAAGGGAACCGAACCAGTCTGGATGGGGAGGCAACCGGTCGCACCGGACCCGTACAGCAGCGGACAACGGAGGTGAGATGGGCCGGTCGGGTCTCTGGAGGGGGATGGGTGGAGGATCTAATGCGGTGTACCCTCCCCTAGTGACACCCAAAGCTGATAGGCGCCGACCGGACAGGCAGTTAGAGGTGGGTCAAGGATCGGGCATCAAGGATGGGGACTGGAGCGAGGAAGATGAAGATTGGGGCTTTGATAACCAGACCGGGCGAAGGCCAGAGCAGGGTAGCTACAGAGGTCCACACCGTGGCAGTCACGGCTTTGGCAGGTACGGTGGTTACAACTCTATGTATGAAGGGGATGATGATTTGGTGTTTAGAGCTGAACCTCCGACCATTGAGTTCCCAAAATTCAATGCTCAAGAGGATGCAGGGTTGTGGATTTATGCTGCAGACAGGTGGTTTAAGAATCACCCCACCCGGGAAGAAAGGAAGGTGCAGCTGGCGTCGTTCTACTTGGAGGGCGATGCCCTTCAGTGGTGGGAGTGGATGGAGCGGTCTTATGGAGAGGCCGAGATGCTGATTACCTGGCCGAGGTTTAAGGAGGAGCTGCAGTATCAGTTCGGGAAGTCAGAGGGCTGGGCGCAGGCAGGCACAGTAGCCGAATTCCGTTCGGAGTTCCTGCGGTTGGGAAACATGTATAAGGGAATGCCGGAGGAAACATTGGTTGGTTTATGTCTTACAGGTCTGAAGCCGGAGTTAGCTGCTGCAGTGAAGGTGTTCGAGCCAGGGTCACTGAGGGCGACATTTCGATTAGCTGGGACCAAGGAAGAGGAGCTGACAAGTTGGAAGGCCGTTCGGAGTCAGAAAGGCCATGGGGGCTACTCCGCGGCAAACAGAACTCAGGGAGGAGCCGTCGTTCCTCCAGCTGGAGCTGCAGCCACGGCGACAATTGTGGCACCAGCAGCGGGGCGGACCGGGCCGAGGCTACCGCCGCGGGATTTTGTGAAGCTCACGCCGGCAGAAATGGAGCAGAAGCGCCGGGATAGTCGTTGCTTCAACTGCGACGAGAGGTATACCGTAGGTCATCAGTGCGCCAAGGGACATTTGATGCTGCTGGTGGGTAACTTGGAAGATGAGGCAGGGGAGTTAGCCGCAGAGGAGGCTAAGGAGAACCAGGGTCCTAGGGAGCAACCTTGAGGGCAAGGTTGGTCTCGAGCGGGGTGGATTGTTAGAAACCCAATTATTGGGTTATTTCGGTATTCGGACTTATTTGTCGTTTTATTTATGTTTGGGGACGATTGGACATTATTTGGGGGGGTTTTGGGTGCATTTGAGGATTATTCGGATTAATTGGGTTAAGTTAAGTAGTTGGGGTAGTTAACGGGAAGTATTCGGGTTATATATTTGTAATTAGTGGGTAATTGCTCATTAAGCAAATAATAATAAGAATTCCCCAAACCCTAATCTTCTTCCCTCTCCTCCCTCACTCGACAGAACCCTTCTTCCTCAACTTCCCTTCTCGTCGTCGGCCACCCTAGGCCGCCGACTCCTCTTTCTTCTTTCCCCCAAATTCTCGTCCCACTCTCTTCTCCTACCTCAATCCATTCGCAACCTTCCCTTTGCTCAACTCTTGATTCACAAACCCTAGACGCAAGGCGCCTAGATCATCAGGTTTCTTACACAGAGTGCCTAATGCTGCTATTAGTTGGCTCACTAGCTGCTAAAGTTGAAGAAGAAGCAGAGATCATGAACAGTCGAACAAGAAAGTAGCCATATCATATTGTAGAACAAGCAGATCTGAAGTAGAGATAGGACATAATCAACCCAAGAAGAAACTAGTTGTTCTGTTCCTACTATTTTGAACATCTACAAGTATCACATAGTTAATACGTTGGATGTAGATGTAAGATTTCCTTCATTTGATGGCGGTCGTGGAAGCAGCGCAACAGCTACAGGTTGATGGCAGTTCGGAATCATTGGTGCCAGATTATCGGTGAGGGCAGTGATGTTTATTCTAGCCACCCTCGTTTTAATTACATTATTATTTAGGTTATGATTGCTTGTGATAACAAAAGGGACATTTAGTTATTATCTTCTTAAAGATGAATTCTGAGGCTGTAAGTTTTAATTATGAGGGCATATTTGTAACTTACCCTAGGTCGGGTTGGGTAATTGAGATACTATAAGTATCCTGGTATACGTTTGCATGAGTTAAGAAAGCAATAAGAAAAACCTAAAACCTGTGATGGAGATACTTATCGTGGACTAGAGTCTAACGACGATACCACGTTAAAAAAGCTCTCGTGTTATTTTGATTTGGTTTGCTAAATTGATATAGTATCAGAGCCGTGATCAAGGCCTTCGTGTCGTTCACCTTTGACAGCGTACGTCAGCTATTAGGGTTTCCAGCTTGTGGTTTTGTCCTCTTTTCTTTGCCTTGTTTGCTGTCTTTCTTCTACTTGTCTTGAGGCTTCTTCGCAGCGCTCTCAGGATGGATGCTAGTAGGTTTGATTGTGTGACTACAAAATTTGATGGCAAGAACTTTGTGTTGTGGGAATTCCAGTTCCGCAACTTTGTGAAAGGCAAGAGATTGCTCCCAATTCTTATTGGGACTTCGAAGAAGCAGTACGATAGCACGCCTGAAAAGGACCAGGCTGACTAGGCAGCTGCAAATGCTCAGGTCGTGTCCTAGTTGGCCGGCTTTGTTGACGTTCCTACTGCCCTTGGGTTGCGCTAGTTTTCGACGACCCATGAGATGTGGTCTCATTTTTGTAAGACCTACTCGCAAGCGAACACGTCCCACCAGTTCGACCTCGAGTTTGCGATTTCCATACTTGTTCAAGGTGATCAAGACATCAGGGGTTATTATCAGGATAGCCTCAACCTATGGACTGAATATGATATGCTCGTGGTATCTCTCTCTCCGGAAGCCAAAGCACCACAGGTTATCAAGGCATGCGCTCGTTCGCGTATGATGCAATTTACCATGAAGTTAGGACCCGAATTTGAATATGTGCATGCCTCTCTGATTCATCGTGGGGTGAATGAGTTTGATGAGGTTCTCGGTGAGCTGTTGCGGGAGAAAACCAGACTGCGGAGTCAGGAACAGATCGACAATCACCTTCTCACTGCTGAATCTGCCTTTGCGGTAGGGAAAAGTGGTGGCACTCGGCCGCAATTTCAACAACAAGGTACCTCTACTCTTACTTGCCACTACTGCCATGAGGTCGGGCATTTACAACCTCATTGTAAGCATCGCAATATATGTATATATTGAAAACGAGAAGGACATCATTAGGGAATGTAAGACTCTAGCGAAGAAGGGTGGTCTGCGTTCGGGTTACGGTGGCAAGAATTTGGGATCTGGTTCGTGGAGTAGCGGCTGCGGTTATGCTGTGGTTGAGAGGGATGCTGCACAAAGTGGTCCGTTGCTTCCCGCTGCTCCGCCCATCAGTGCCTTCCCCTCTGAAGCTATTTGTCGACTGGTATAGGAGGCCCTCCAAGAGGCCCTTCCAAGTGCTCTGAATCCTTCCTTTGCTATGGGTGGTGCGTCAGGTAAACTTCCTAGTTGGTTATTAGATTCAACTATATTTAATCATATGTCTAGTGCTCGTCCATGCTTCACCCAGCTTCGACAAGTGGCACCCATGACTCTGCAGGTTGCGAATGATGAAAATGTCCCTATTCGTGGATCATGAAAAATTGTCGTTGGGAATTTTGAGTTCCAAGACACGCTTTATGTTCCTGATCTTGTCCCCAACTTAGTTTTTATGGGACAGTTAGCCGAAGACAACTGCGATGTGAGGTTTAATTCTGATGGGTGTGTGGTGCAAGATCGGAACACAAGGAGGGTGATAGGGACATGACATAAGAGTGGTCGGATCTATGTCCTAGATGATTACTGCAAGTCTATGAGTTTGGATGAAGCAACAACAGGAGTTCGTGATGCTGGTGGTACAAGCTCGGCTGGAGTCGATGCTACTAGTACAACTTCTTTTCTTTGTAATCAGCAACATTCGACAATTTTCAATAATCCCGATTGTGAGGTCAACATCCTGGGATATTCTGTTAAGCCTGAGTCTTTGGATTATTCTGTTCATTCCTCTACTTGGGATTTGTGGCACCGTCGTCTGGGACATCCCCACTTGGCGCAATTATTGAGCATGTTTCGAACCAAGATATTACCTGATCGGTTGAGTTCGAACTTTGGGTCTCCTAGTTCTTGTGGGAGTTGCATTGAGACCAAAATGTCCCAGCTATCTTTTGCTTCTAGTGATACTGCGTATGATGCTCCGTTTGATTTAGTCCACGAAGACTTGTGGGGACCCTCGCCGATCACGTCTCGTTTGGGCTTCTAGGACTTCGCCCTCTTTATCGATCATGCCACGAGTTATACGTGGATATATTTCTTACGTCGCAAATATGAGTTAATTACCCATGCGAAAAGCTTCATCACCGTGGTAGAGACTCAATTCCACAAGGGGGTGAAGGTCATACGTTCCGACCATGGCGGCGAATTCACTTCCTAGCCCCTCCTTGACTTCTATACAGATCATGGCATTCTCGTTCAACATTCTTGTCTCGGAGTTTCCCAACAGAACGGTCTCGTTGAACGAAAAACTCGCCATGTCCTGTAACTCACTAGGGCAATCCTGTTCCACTCTTGTGTTCCGAACGACTTTTGGATCGAAGCAGTGAAAACGGTGGTATTTGATAAACCGACAGGTGTCACCAGTGATAGGGGATCGCTCTCCTTACCAGGTTTTGTTCAATCGTGTTCCGACTACTCATTTCTGCGAGTGTTTGGCTGCCTTTGCTTTGTTTTGCTTCCTAAGCGTGATCGTCGCAATCTAGCGCCGAAGAATGTTCGGAGTGTATTCATGGGGTATAGCGTTGAGCATAAAGGTTATCTATTCTACAATCCAGTGCAGCGTCTCATGAGAATAGCTTATCATGTCACTTTTCTTGAGCAGGTTATGCATTATTCTCTGGCCAAAGATAACTCGCCAGTCTCTTTGAATTTTCTTCCTCTATCTCCTTTGACTAAACACCAGATGTTCCTGCTGGTGGTAACCCGCCCCAGGCTGGTCCATCAAGCCATGATGATGATTCCGGTGGGAATTTGCCGCCTCTCACTCCGTCACTTCACACCAGCTCCAGTTCGAGCTCCTCATCCGGTTCTTTATCCAGTTCGACTTCATCTTCGAGTGGTTCTGCCTCACCCTTGTCGCTCCATTTGTACTCTGCAAGTCCCGCATCAACTGCTAGTTCCAGCTTGTCGTCGGGGATGGGAAAACGAACTTCAGCGGAGTTAGGGGGGAGATGAAGGTGATCTCTCTGCAAGTCCACCATCGATTCCTCCGCCTACCTCGCCGGTCCGATCGTGTCAATAAGGGAGTGGTTCCTATCAAGTTGCTCGACTATGCTGGATATTCAACTGAGACCATACCTATTCCATCTCATTATCATTTTTCCAAGGGTGATGAGAAGTGTGAGGCGGGAATGTAGGTGGAGACTAACACACTAGAATAAAATCACACTTGGGACTTAGTTACCAGAATGCCAGAGATGTCGGTCATAGGGTCAAAGTGGGTATATGATGTAAAGATAAAGCCAGATGGCACTCGGGAGCACATCAAAGCACGAGTAGTTGCTCAAGGATTTCACGAGGAATTCGGGATTGACTACGATTAGACGTTCAGTCCATTGCTAAATTGTCGACAGTTCGAAGTCTTTTTGCCATTGCAGCAATGAGAGGATGGTCGTTGAAACAGTTCGACGTGAAGGATGCTTTTCTTCACGGTGATCTAAAAGATACTATCTACATGGAGCCTCCAGGGTACAAGAAAGCTGGACCTAATATGGTGTGCAATCTGGTTTGATCCTTGTACGATTTAAAACAAGCTCCTCATGCTTGGTTTGAGAAGTTCCATGGAACTATTTTGCAGGCTGGGTTCCAACAGAGTCACAGTGATCCATCATTGTTTATTCGGAAAACTGTGCAAGGCATCATCGCACTTCTGCTATACGTTGATGATATAATTGTAACTGGAGATGATCATGATGACATAAAGGAATTAATCAGAACCCTTCATCAAGCGTTCCATCTTAAGGAACTTGGGGAGGTAGGCTATTTTCTAGGGATAGAGGTTAGTCGCACATCAGGAGGACTATTTGTTTGCCAAAAGAAATACATCTCCGACTTGCTCTCTTTCTCACAATTTGAAGCCTGCAGGCCATGTTCCACACTAATGGAAAAAAACCTAAAATTGAGTAAGGATGATGGGGATTTGTTGGAAGACCAATCGTTTTATCGGAGTGTTGTAGGAAACCTAATTTACCTCACTCACACTAGACCAAATATCTCATATGCCATACAGGTAGTAAGCCATTTTTTGGGAGTAGCATAGACAACTCATTTGGATGCAGTGAACAGGCTTCTTCGGTATCTTAAGCACACGAGTGACGTGGGTGTGTTTTTTCGCGCAGAGGGAGAGTAAAAAATAGAAGCCTTTGCAGATGCAGATTATGTAGGATATCTTGACATGAGACGATCAACTTCAGGATGGTGCATTGAGTTTGGAAATGCTTTTGTCTCATGGAGGTGCAGGAAGCAAGATAGAGTCTCGAAATCCTCAAGAGAAGATGAATATCATTTGATGTTAGAAGTAAGCTCATAAATGGTTTGGTTACACAGGCTGTTCGAAGAGTTGGGGATTGAATGTCAAGGTCTGATGGTGATAAATGGAGACAACACGAGCGCAATTTAAATTTCAATTAATCATGTGTTACATGATCGGACTAAGCATATTGAAGACCATGTCCACTACATTCGCCAGCTTGTAGCAGAAAGTGCAGTTCAGCTGCGATAGTTGAGAACAGATGAACAACCAGCATATGTGTTGACTAAGGTTGTTGCATCGAGTAACATATTTGTAACTTACCCTAGGTCGGGTTGCTAGGGTAATTGAGATACTATAAGTATCCAGTTACATGTTTGTATCATGTTAAGAAAGCAATAAGAAAAACCTAAAACCTGTGAGGGAGATCCTTACCGTGGACTAGTGTCTAACGATGATACCAGGTTAAAAAAGCTCTTTTGTTATTTTGATTTGCTAAATTGACCGTAAGTGCTGCATGTAATGGGAGTACTTATAGTTTGTTTAATTTAGATAGTAGGGAGGTGTGCGAGCTTCATCCCGAAAACAAAGTGGATGAACATCTTTGGTTAGAGTATCTAGCAGCTAATTGTGCTCGCAGTTCTTAATTTCTTCGGCAAGTAGGTGCTGAGATTGGAATGTCCAGATGCTACGCAGACTCTGAATACTCTGATTTTCAACTCCTTTTTCTTTTGGCAAGTAATACTCTGTGTTTTCTGGTGAGGAAACTCTTGTGTTTGAAATCAATGAAAGCACCTTAACTTTTTGAACAATGATAAAAACACAGTTCACAACTCTCTGAACAATGTTCGAACGAGGGTATATGATGATTATGATGGCTTTTTGGAAATATGCTAAGTTAATTTACTTATGCTCCTATGGAGGTTCAGTGAGAGCTTCAAAAACTAATAGATATGGATAGAGCTGCATTGCAAAGAAAAGATAAAGGTTGACTTGTGTTGTCAAATGTTTGGTTGTGGAACCCTTTGTCTTCGTTTCTCCTATTTATAGACATCACTTATAACCGCCTCTTTGTAATCACTGCTCCAGTGCTTGGCATTTGATGTAGCCTGCTTGACACCTTAACTGCCTTGCTCGCATGCATACTACTTCGTCATTGATAACTTGATGACTTTACTTGGCAGGTAGTTACCATGTGTCGTGGAGGTATCTCGCTTGGCTTTATCTTGATGTTTGATTTCTTAGTGATGCTCATGATGACCACCCTTGCATGACGTCATGCTCGACACTAGCATGTTTGGTAGTTAATGAATGAACACTGACCCCTTTGGGGTGGCATCATGCTTAAAGAGTCTTGACAAGGTGGTCTACCATGTGATAATGTACATGACTGACACTTAGAAATTTAATGACCTTGTCTACTAGATACCATGCATGACTGCTTATGAGGTCTAACATGCCTGAATACTTGGGATGATGGTGCGTTGTTCCTACCTTTTTGGAATGACGTCGTGCTTGGCACCCTGGTGCTTGGTAGGATAACAAGGAGGAATTTCCATACTTAGCCGATTTCCTCATACTTGACACGTGAGTGTCGGCCCCCCTGCACTTTGTCTTGCTTGGGTATTTGATAAGTAGGCGGCAAAGCATGCTGGTATCAACCCTCCTTAGATGACATCATGCTTGACATCCCAATACTTGGTAGGTGGGCGGTAACATACTTGACAGTTGGGTATGTGACCTGATTGATAGGTGGGTACTTGAGGTCTCGACACTTAGTCATGTTCTACATCCTTTGCACCAACCCTTCTTGGATGGAATCATGCTTGACACCCTAGCTCTGTGTATGCGAGTGGTCAGCATATTAGCATACTTGACAGGCGGGTATGTGTCCTGCTTGATGGGTGGGTCGATAGGTATTGATACTTAGCCAAATTTCACCTCCACTGTCTCTACCCCTCTTCGATTATGCCATGTTTGACACCCAAGTGGTTGGTGGGGGTGGCTAGGTGCTTGGCTGCGGGGTAGGTGAGTGGTGAGGTTTTAACACTTAGCCAAATATTTCTTTCTTTCCCCACCACATCTAGGGGGTACTCGTGATGGTCTTCCTTGCACGACATCATGCTTGACACCCTAGTGCAAGGTAGATACGCATCATAGTACTTGGTGCCTGCCCCCTTGTATGACATCATGCTAGACAGATGAGTGGTGAGACCCCTTGGATAATGTCATGCTTGACATGTGGGTGTTTGGTGGGTCGAGCAGCAAGCGACTAGGCATGCCGGCATCAATGTGGTACTAAGTGATTTTTTAGTGATAAAGAAAGGGGGAGTTTCCATGCTAGGGCTTGTGGATTAGAACGGAGATGGGGTACTGAAATTGGTAAGTGATTCTGCTAAGTGATTCTGCTAACGAGAAAGAACAAGTGCTGTAAACATAAAAAAAAAATGGAAGTCCAAATTTGGTTTTCAGCCGTTTTGGCCCTAGTTTTTGTAGGTTTGCTGCTAATTTGTTGATGGTTTGCTGCCTGCGACTACTCTTGTTGCATGTCTGCTAATAGAGTGAATTGAGGATTTGTTAAGCATATAATACAGTGGCTTGGAAGCAAGCTTGTTATTGCTGGATCAACAATTTGTGCAGCATGGATAGTAAACTTGGGGATCGCCTTTGACATAGTCAAAATGCTAGTCTTTATTTCTGAATCCCATGCCAGAGAATGGCTAACTTGGAGCGAGGGAGAAAGCATCAAGCTTCTTTTGGGATTGAAGTTTTTTTAAGCATCCCGACAAGGAGTGAAGCCAGTCTCGGAGGTGTTAGCTGAAAATAATAACTTCAATGGTTGCCTCTTTAGTTTCTTTGCAACTGTAATATTGTTCATCTTGTATATAGACATACTTGAGCATTAAAAATACCTGAACAAAACTTGGAGTTGATTTTGCAAGGCATAAGTGAGTCCCAAAGTCCAATATTGAAACAAAAGAAAGTTAAAATGTGGAGGTTTTAACCCCACAAATTATTCTTCAGTAAAACGAGTTATTTAAATTAATTAACACATAAATAATATACAAATACTGCAATCTCAAATAATGAGTTATTCAGATTCTATATATGTAAAAGAGATCCTATACATAAACAATTAGTTATTTGATCCCACAAATACCACATTGTCACCTAACCCATTTCATTATTTTTACATTTTATTTAGGATGACAAGATCAAAACAAAATAATAAAGTAGAAAGAACACATTAGAATACAATTTCGTAATTTTTAATATCAAATTACATAGAATCACTTCTATAACGGAACAATCATATATGATGTGTCATATAATTTTGGGTCAAGCAAGCGGGTGCGGTCATGTTCAGGTTGGGTTAGTCGGGTCAAGGATTAGTCGGGTCTCGGGTCAATCAGGTTGTGGGTCAGTAGTGCTACGGGTCAGTCGGGTTATGGGTGGATCGGGTTGGGGGTCAACTAGATTATAGGTTTATCGGTTGCAGGTCGGTCAGGGTACGAGTCGTTGACTTTTAGTCAAATCTGGTTGTAGGCAGGTTACAAGTCATTTTGATCAATCCGGTTACTCGGGTCAGGTTATATTTTGACAGCTATAAAATTTTCTGAAGATTTGGGTGGATCAATTAAGGTTTAAATTTTCGAACATTTAGTACTCAAGTTTAAATTTGTTTAAGAGTGGCATCAATTCATTACCGGTTTTTTAACAATCTAATAGCAGTTACACCGGTAAAATGTGAACAATTGACTATATCGATTCATATAATCCCGACAACATTGCTATTAACCCTTGAAACAAATTTACACGATAAACCCTTGTTTTAATGTATCCAGTATCCACAGATCAAGCATAATGTGTTTCCGCACTGCCTTAACCAATTATCAGTCTCTTAAAAAATGTTTATATGCTTGCTTGAAACAAAACATACGCATTCGAAAATGAAGCTGTTGTCCCTTGGGATATACATTACACTCAAGCGGCTACAATAGGGAATGGTGTTTTTGTAATAAAAGGTTCTTTAATTCTGCAAATTCATCAATAATAATAGAATCTCCATCCATATCAATAACATACTCTCTCTCAAAGACAATAGCTAAGCAATCAACGAAATTCATCGAGCATTTTGTTGCGCAAATTAGTTTTCACGTATTTCATTGCTTAAAATGTTCTCTCCATGGTAGCCGTTGAAACGGGCAAGGTCAACACTAGACGAATCAACCAACAAATCAATTTGTTTAGAGGGTTTTCTATTTCAATGAAACTTTATACACTCTTTTACATTTTCGACCTTTAGGTTTTATTGTTTTTTTCCCCAATGAAAATCATTCGGGCTAGAATTCCTAGAGTAAATTGAGGGTAATGGTTTGCATATGTTCATCTAGACAATTTTTCTAACTACACAACATTTATTATCAAATAACACTCGACCAACCATTAAATAATACTGGGCCGAATACCTAAAATCGAAAATTTATAATCTCTATACTACCTATGGATCCGGCAGAGGGCTGGGCCGTGGCCCGGGTTGGCCCAGCCCTAGATCCGCCGATGCATTGTAGTCTGTATGTGAGAATTTCCCAAAGATGGAGTACACTACTGATGTTGCGAATATCTTTGATAGGTTAGTTACGTGATTTGATAGGTTAGTTAACATCTGGGGTTAGGCTACTAATTTTCCCTCCATATTAACTATCAGTGGTTGAACTTTCTGATCAGTTGTTTGAAGTTACTTAATTGTCAGTGGTTGAACTGATTCACTCCATATTAATTAGTTTATAAACTGCTATAAACCAAATGAAATGATCAGACTGCTGTATTATCATTATCCCTCTCCTCCCCAAATGCTCACAGTGACAACCTTTTGGAGGTGTAAGGACGGACCACGACCAGTGGCGGATCTAAGGCATTGCAGGGTGTGTCGTCCGACACACCCTCGTTCGAGAATTTTACGAAGGACCTACATATTTTTGGTACAATTTTTTTTACTTCGGGATAGCCGACACACCCTCAATAATTATAGCCGACACACCTTCATTATACTCAAAGAAATTATTATCCAAATGAATCAATCTTAATCATAATCCTTTTTAATTTTTTTTAAAATAACTCATAAAGCATAATCCTATCCTTCCTATTAAAAAAAATACTCTTAGCCCATACAATATACACGTGTGATGAGTGTTGGGCCTGAGCCTTTAATTAAATGAGAAAAGAACCCACAGGCCAAAAGCCCAGTCGGCCACTAGCCCACTACCTCCCCATTATTATTCCTTCCCTCCCCATCCCCAATTAATGGCCCAATCTCCCCAATTAATGGCCCAATGCCATATTCCTTGTCCATATCTCAATTCCCAGCAACTCATCCCCATTATTCCCCCTGGTTCCCTCTTCTCTCGCTCGCAAAAAACCCCAGAACCCCAGACGAACAAAAAACCCAGACATAGGCAGAACGGGCAAGTCGGCACGGCAACCCATCTCGGCCTCGGCGGACACCCTTCACCGGCGGGCAGCGCGGCGGCGGCAACTCCTCGTAGCCGGTCAAGTGGGCACTTCTTGTAGCTGGCCAAATGTAAGTAATTTTACTGTTATGAACCCTAAATTGCAAAGTTTAGGGGTTTTTCTTGTTTTCCCATTTAACCCAAATTTTATTTGTCAATTTGTAATTCATGGATGAATTGAATAGATTTGTTTATAAGCTAATTTATGTTGTACTCTGTATCCAGACATGGAGAGATTTTACCCAAAGGTCCCAAAGAAAGCAAAAACTACTCTACATATTAACAATTTAGGAGGTGAATCAAGTAAAATGAATCATGATGATTCTCAATCTTCCTCGCCATCGATTAATCAAACAAGTGGCATCTCAAGTAAGTTTTCTTCATTTCCTGAAGAACATGAGAATGATGATGTTGGTGAGCATTTTCAGTTATGAAGATAATCAAGAACGATCTTCGAAATCGGTTGAGTGACCAATTTATGAATGATTGTTTAGTTGTGTATATTGAAAAAGATTTGCTTTGCAGCATAAGTGATGAATGTATTTTAGAGACATTTCAGCAGATGAAAAGTCGTCGCGGTTCGTTGTAAACATGACATTGTGAACTTTATGAATTAATTTCTTTTAATTTTAACTTAATTTTTAATTTAATTTAATTATAATTTTATTTTATCAGCGACACACCTCTCCGACAATCCTGGGTCCGCCACTAACCACGACTTCTAGTTTGGTTTGGCTATATGAAGTAACTAGTGTTGTACACAATTCTTCCACCCAAGGAGATTAGCTACACGTATCCGTTCTTGAATTAATGGTTTGACGTAAGTTGTACGTCTTTAGGACGGCCATGCATATATAAACGTACGTGCATGGGGATTTGGAAATGCACATTACAAACAGTACCGATCGACGTCAAGAGAAACCCTTTGAATCTCTCTGCTGCATCGTTACTTACTAAACTAAATTCCTAATCTTCCTCTCCACAACACCAAATTGGAATATCACCAGCCACTATTAATCAGTTCCATTTACTGTTCGTTGCGGATCTGAAGCTTTATGGCGACCAGAGTCGACGATGATGGCCGCCCAATGCGAACTGGTAATTAACCCACCTAGCTACACTGCAACAGAACTGGATTTTAGCGTCCGTTTTTTCACGATTTAGCGTTGTTCGTTTCTACCCGACAGTAAACTTCTTACCCACGGTCAGTTGGTGCATCAATTGACACTAAATTATTTCGTGGCGCGCGGTTAAGGTAAACCGTCGGTACATTGTAGTGTCGGTTGATACCGCCAGTTTAAAAAAAAAGTGACTGTAGGCAAATTATTTTGTGTATGCAATGCAGGGACTTGGGTGACGGCGAGCGCCCACATCATTACAGCGGTAATTGGATCAGGCGTTCTATCCCTGGCTTGGGCTATCGCCCAGCTGGGTTGGGTGGCCGGACCGGCCACTCTCATCATCTTCTCCCTCGTAACCCTTTTCACCTCCACCCTCCTCGCCGACGCCTACCGCCACCTGGACCCGGTCACCGGCCAGCGCAACTACACCTACATGGACGCGGTCCGGACCCATTTAGGTGGGGTCAAGGTCCGGCTTTGCGGCCTGGCCCAGTACGCGAACTTGGTGGGCGTCACCGTCGGTTACACCATCACCGCGTCCATATGCATGGGGTAAGCTAACGCAACCATGCACCCCATCTCTTTTTTACTTATTTATTTATGCAACTCTGAACTAATTACATATATATAAAACCACATATGTAGGTCGGTTCGGAGAAACAAGTGTCTCCACGCGGAGGACAACTGCCACGTGTCCACGACGATCTACATGATCATCTTTTGCTGCATCCAGCTGATCCTTTGCCAGGTCCCCAACTTCCACAAGCTGTCGTGGATCTCCATCCTCGCCGCCGTCATGTCAATCACCTATTCCTTTATTGGATTGGGTCTCTCCGTAGCCAAAGTTGCTGCAGGTAATTAGATATATTCATGTAACAAAGTTTAAGTTATGTTAAATGTGAAATATATACATACCTAATGAACTCAATTGAATGAAGGAGCTGAGGCGACAACGACGTGGCCGACGGTGTCAGAGGCGCAGAGGTTGTGGAAAATTTTCCAAGCAATTGGCAACATTGCCTTTGCGTATGCCTACTCCACCGTCCTCATCGAGATTCAGGCAAGTAGTTGTCGTTTCATATTATCCCTTCTCATGGTTAAATTAGTAAAAGGTTAATTAGCCTTATATATATATATATATATATAGTATTGACTAAGACATGCATGCATGGACGCAGGACACCCTGAAATCGAGCCCGGCCGAGAACAAGACAATGAAGCGGGCGAGTTTTGTGGGCATCTCAACTACCACAATTTTCTACCTGCTCTGCGGCTGTGTGGGCTACGCGGCGTTTGGAGAAGACGCGCCGGGCGATTTACTCTCCGGATTCCATCAATCGTTGTGGCTACTCATCGTAGCAAACGTCAGCGTGGCTATCCACCTCATCGGCGCCTACCAAGTAGGTCCAATTTAATTGAATTAAATGAAACCCCGCAATGAATTGCCTTCTAAATTCTAGTATATTCGTTTAATTAATGATTTATATTATGTGTGTGTGACGGCAGGTGTTTGCGCAGCCGATTTTTAGCTTGGTGGAGTCCAGCTGTCGTCAGAGGTGGCCAGAGGTCAAGTTCGTGACCGCCGACCACCAGATTACCATTCCGTTTCTGGGCGGTACTGGCTTCCACGTCAACTGTTTCAGATTGGTTTGGCGGTCTGCTTACGTGGCCGTGACCACAGTCTTGGCTATGCTCCTCCCTTTCTTCAACGTATTTATGGCCCTTATCGGAGCAGCATCATTTTGGCCTCTGACGGTCTACTTTGCGATCGAGATGTACATCGCCCGAGCGAAGCTTCCAAAATTCTCCTTCTCCTGGATGGGCCTACAAGCCTTGAGCATGGCCTGTCTGCTTGTTTCACTCGTCGCAGCTGCTGGATCAGTGGAAGGCCTGATCCAATCACTCAAAGTGTATCATCCTTTTAAGAATTAAGTACAATTAATTAACAAAAGCTAAGTACGTGGTAGTATTGAATTTGTTCTATCGAGTATCGACCACCAATTTTGGCCGATTGCATTTTGCACCGCATCCATAGCTTTTCTCTCCGCTAAAGGAAACACCCCCTATCAAGAGAAACAAACTAGTCATTCTCTAGCTTTCTACAAATATCTCTGAGGTCGGTCAATTCAAGCTTAGCTCCACAAAATTATCACATTCTATCTTTCCTGGTCATAAATCCCCCACAAAAAACTCCAATCTTCAGGGTGTTGAATGGTAATTTGCAATAGTAATTATCATCACCACTCTATGCCCCATTGCCATAAATTCAAGGAGACATATACATTATCTCATGGGTTGAAACTATCCATCAAATTATGGAAGCCAACAAGTCCACATGGTGAGGAGAAGCTTGAACAACTAAATAATAGTGATGATCTGTAGTAGACATGCCATATGGAAATGAAAGAATCAATTATGATGAAGGTATCCTTACGCAACTTGATAAAATAATGGTTAGTGTAAAATAATGCATGGGCCATGTAATTGTATTTTCTATTTCTATATATGTTGTACGTATGGAAGAAGAATGCAGTGCAGTGAGTGTGAGAAAGAGAGCTTGTAAGAATAAACAAAGAAAAGAAAGAAGCTAAGCTTCTGTACGTGTAAGGCAAGAGCCAAATGAATAAGGCCTTGTTTGTTTCTTGAGTGTTTACTAAAAAGAGTGATTAAACACTAATTGTTTCCTTTGTATTGATCCAAGATTACTACTAATTCCGCTAATACCCAACACGTACAGGAGACCATCACAAATAAGGAATTCTGCAAAACGCTCAGCAATCTTGCCCTTTCACAAAGAATGGGACTGACCCTATTTACGGTGTACACTTTCCTCTAGAGATGAGATGCAGCTTGGGAGAGGTTCAATTATGGATTCATCACAACGAATGTTGTAGTACACTGTTTTACTTGTTCAATGTCACTGCAAATGGTAAATAAGTTGTCATGCTGCTCTAGGGGACTTGTAAAGTTGCCCGATATTCAAAGACTTGACTGGATGGTCTATATATATGGTCTTGCAGGTCTGCAATGGAAGAGACATTACCCAGAGTTTCACTACAAAATTAGAACGTATTGAGGACAAAGATTAGGGACCAGTATTTAAAATTGTCCACGGAGTTATTAACTTTAAAGGTATTAAGGACAAGCCCATGAAATCGTCCTCACAGCACCGGAGTTAGATGTTTCAATATTGTGGGCCTATCTCAAGTCGTCTCTGGAAACTTATGTAAGGTGGGACTTAATTTGGGTCATTCCTTCCGAGGCTTTCACCATTTTTGTTTTCAATCAACAACATAAGTCCAATTAGGCACATGGGACTGTAGTGACATTGAGGGCAGCCGCCGGCCGCAAGGTATGCTCGAGCTCTCCCTTCTCATGGTGTCGTGGTTTGCGTTCATCATCACCGTCTATTCCTACAAAATCCCTAACCCAACTGATTTCTCTATCTCGATCATTCTGTATCACTTTGATCCGTCTCATTTTGATTATTGTTTATGAACTAGGGTTTATTCCACACACCCAAGTTTTATGTATGCCATCAGTAATCCACGATTATATTCTTTTGCTTTATTTGAATGAAGATCCTGTTTTCCTTAAGTTACTCAATTGATTGTCGTTCATACAAGGGTTTGGGGCTAGTTATCCGTCTAAAAAAAGGAGCATAATATATGCCAAAAAAAGCGTAGATAGCTTCAAAAAAAGGAGTGCCAGGAATGTGATTCATTCCTCGATCTTGACCAAGCCGCATGTCCTTGTTGATTGGTAACCGGGAGGTTTAGTTGAAAATCTCTGCTTTCTACTCTAGGAAGTATCTACAGGCTGTATTGATAAATAAATTAAGGATTCACATGCTTGATTCTGAAATTGAATGTGGGACTTATTGTTAAAAACATGAATGCCACTTGATTTTGCGTCTCAAGTTAATTTAGTTCTTCTTTTGTGGATGCTTTTACCATAACTATTATTTCCTTGCTTATACAGGGACCTTGGTTTCTATTATTCATCTACTGATGCTTGACTGATCTCTACTTCATGGATGTTGCTTTGATCATTTGCATTTTGAGGGTTTGAAATTTAGATAAACTTGAAGAGGAGCAGGGGACAAGCCAAGTGCTTTGAGTATTGTGAGTTCTCTCATACCCACCTTTTAAGTCGAGTTAGTTAATAATGTGATACCCTTTGTAGAAAGAAGATCATCTTTCAGTCATTCATATTACAAGCTATCTGAGTTATTTTAACTATTCTGACTTTATTATCTTTTTCTATTCATTTTCCAAAGCAGTATATGCATAGTTTAACAGTGAAATAACTTTTTGAAACTGGAAGATCAAGCCCAACAAATCATCTTAACACAAAGATCAGAAATCAAGCCGACCAAATGTAGTGCCAGGTGAAGACAGGGAAGTCGAGCATGCAACAAGTTAGAAGTTAGTGATTTAAGACAAAAGGAGCTCGTGATTTGGATGAATAAATTAGTGGAGTGCTCTAGTACCTGTAATACTAGCAAAGACCCGCTCGCTACGCTTCGCGCATAAGCAATAACATTATATAATTGCTATTTACAACGAATAGCAAAAGATAAAAGTTCACTATTACTTGGAGTGAAATCAAGGTTAGAGCATTACCACTAAACCGTACTGAAAACCTTAGATAATAATTTGAGAAGTGCATGAAACACAAAATTAAAAAATAGCATCATGCTCTCCTTCAAATCTTACTGAAGCAAAATATATACATACTGAGCCTTGCAAGTTGGCAGATTTCTTTTTTAGTTATTAATCGAGGCCATCGACATCACATCTCTAAACAACCCTATCGACATCACATATACGAAGACGAAGACATGCATTAGCCCACTCCTGAAGATTCCCTTTGCCTTTAGAAGATTCATTGACATGAGGCAATGACACTGCCACTGCCTTGTCATTCATCAAGCTCCCTCAAAACCTCTGCATAACTCTGTAAATGAGGGGATACAACCACGTCAGTTTTCAACTAATTGCAATAGGAATTAGCAACATATGACCAAGAAGAGCCTTCATTTACCTTTTGATACTTGGGGCATTGAAATGCGAATCACTAAGATAGTTCCATGGTTCAGGACTTTGTTCTGTTCGTTGATGCTTATGTGATAATCATGTATTGACTTAGTGCATTGTGGCTGCTTTGTTATTATAGTTCCACATGCTATTCTTTTAACACATGGGTTATTCATATACTCCATACTTTCCTCAAATTCCCAGTAGACTTCCAATACTATTGCCTGACAATTCCTAACCAATCTACTACGCAAGATTCACATATGCCAAAATAATAAAGAAGATGCTTAAACTACTTATCAGCAGCCCCTAATATTCGATATCTGATGATAGTGACTCTAAAGGGAATTGATGGCCTCTTCCCCTACATTTTGACTTGGATGATTGGGTTTAGTTGAGAAAACATACACGCTGAACAATATATAGAAAAGTAAATAGAGCCGACTCACACAAGAAAGCAAGCCTGTGTTTCGAGCACAACCTTGTTAAGGAAATTGATCAAAGCATGAGCTGAATACAAATTCGTCAAACACAAAGTAAATAAAATGTTTGAAAGGAAGTAACAGCAGATCCCAAAAAATCATAATCAAATCTTTTGTAGCAACCAGTATTTTACTAATTTTAAGCTTTAGCATTCATGAATCTAAGACCAACCAACAAAATAAACCATCAACTATGGACCAATTAACCCCTATCCAACGATCTGAAACAGTTTCCAAGGCTCATACCCATCAACTTTGTGATAGTGTTCATACCAATCAACATCTTAGAGGGAGAAGGTAGGAAAACCTAACCTAAAGCAGATTCAATTAACATATATAATATAAAAAAGATCTGCTAGCAATTAACAGAGGTTAAATGAGCAAGTCCTTTTGCCACAAAATAACCATTCATGAATGAATCGGCCCTTCAATGTTATCTTATTTGGTAACAAATCCTTTTGTCAAGGTAATCAAGAGTGTCTGAACTCTGAACCCTGTTGTTGACGAAAAAAAGAGTCTATGAACCCTCCAACTAACATCATTTCCAGTACTCAGCAGAAACATAAGGCATCTGTATTTCAACTTACACGGTTTCTTGTAGCAGAAATAACTGAGTAATCACAAGTCACCATCTGCTACCATTTCAAAAGTAATGGCAATTAAAAAAACACCAAGAAACAACCATGACCCGTGAACAAAACAATAATGCAGTGCATTTGTTCTTCAATTGAAAGTGAAGTCTGCTAGTGGACATCTTGATAGTATCAGCAGCAATCAATCCATCCTCTTTTTTAAACAACCAAAAACCAAGAAATGAAACAACTTTCTTTAGCGGTCCTCCACGAACTGAGAAAACAAAAACCCACAATTCGAATGGATCCATCATCAGGGCTTCTCCAATAGCAATATGTCATGGTCGTTAATCTATAAAACCCAGAATTGAGAGAGAAGTGAAATTACAGGTGACCGCTGCTGAAAAGTGTGCTAGAAAATTCCAGACGGTGGATGCGCCGTGCCCACTTCAGGCCCATCGCCACAAACTGGCTTCGAGTTTCTTTGCTGAATTCTGCCGCTTCAATCGAACTTTGCTTGTTTTCACGGTAACCACAAAATCGTCCTGGCAGGACTCGTTCTTCACCATGCCACGTCGCAACCCCATACTCGTTACTGGTGACTTAGTTCTTGCTCCGGATACACAGCCATCTAATCTCATCCTCTATTGAAAATCATGTAAACACCTCATTTCACCAAAAAAAAATAAACGAATCCATCATAGAAGCTCCACAACATATAAGTGTACAATCGAACCAGATAATTCTCTGAGTGTATGTCGGGATTATTCAATACTCACCCAAAGTCCTTTGTCTTGAAGCGGATCAAACCATCACACCTGCAAACCTTGTGAAAAACTGAAAAAGCAAATACAGAGTTCCATGAGCTAAACTTGCTATGTAAGAGAAAATAATAAGAAAATAAAAGGAAAAAGAACAACAGATGCTGCAATCGTCATAAATCGTTGCTAATTCCTACCCCGCACAACCCTCCCTCAGCGGAATTAATCTGAATCATCGGATCTCTTATTCCCCAAAACCCCATAGTCTCAACACTTTCCGAACAACGTGATCATAGCAGAGGCCGATGCCTTTCCCCACGAAACGCAGCAGCTGCAACACACCTACCAGTTCTCCTATCGGCCTCTCCCACCAGAGCATTGTTCCCCACTCCAAGAGCGCTTTTGAAGGAATCTCAGCATTCCACAGCTCTCCACCAATCGTCATGCACTCCCCAAAGAACACAGACGGCCTTGGTGGAATCCCACTTGAGACGCACTCCCAATTTTGCTGCCCTCCCTCTGCTTCCGTTTCCACCTGTACCGGGCTCGACAGAATCCCATCTCTTGCAGATCTCGGCGCTACACCAGGTGGCTTTCCTCTTTCTCTTTGGCATTCATTAATCTTCACTGTTTCACCCGCCTTCTCTTTCCCACGCCGTCGTACTTATCAATGAGTTTTGCTTTCTCTGCAAACCAGTGAGGGGAGCAAAGATTAAAAATGAAACAAAATATAAGAAGCTACATGAAATTCAGCAGGTGAGATCTGAAGAAGACGAAAAACAGAGGGATCAGAACCTAGGATTCTGTCGAGCAAGCGGGAAGAAATAAGAGAGCAGTATCTTCTGCCTCCTCTTGATGAACATCTTCTTCATCTTCACAGCGAAAGAGAGTGAGAGGACCGAGAAACAAAGAGAAAGAAAAGCAAGAGTTGCGTGTGATTGAGCAAAGGGGAGAGTCTCGCTAATGCAACCCATAGTCAAAGTGGTGATGGACATTCAATAATGAAGAGAAGATGGCAAGGGAAGGCTGGCAGAGGAAGCATTGGAAGTAAAAGATGTCAGAAGAATGGTTGGAAGAACAGAAGTCTTGCGTGTGGGAAGGAAAGCAAAAAAGTAGAGAGGGATTGGAAGAAAGTCTTGTGGGTATTGCAGAATTGATGTGCGACCAATGGAGAAAAGAAAGATCCAAAGGTCTGTCAATGGAGAGTGGGGTAATAAGATATGCTAAAATTTCTATGAGAGGGGAAGGGTGCCACTTGGGCCAATGAAGGCTAAACTTTTGAGAGTGGGGGCCACTAATGAACAGTGATTGTAACTAAGGCTTTTATATATCAATATATTCAGCAGTACACTAAGCCTATTTTTCTATTATCACTAATAAAGACAGTATTTTAGTACATTTAGTGTATATATATTCTTTGTTAGAAAGTGTATGGTTCATACGAGTTACATATGAGACAATTAACCTTTCCCAAAAGGTGTGTAAATGACAACTCCTTGTCTCCCAATACACAAGTTAGAGGATAATTGTTTGTCTCCAAAAGTCATAAGTGACAACTTGTCGTCTCTATATAAACGATATGTCACCCTATAGAAAGAAAAAGGGGACGATATTTTCTCCCCATATAGGCCCAATAGAATCGTGATATTGATTATGTGGGACAATAGTTTGTCTCTAGAAGTGATATTTAAGGACGACTTATTGTTACTATATAAACCTCCTCTTTTTTGTAGTTTGAAGAAGAAAGTTGAATCGTTTCGTGTTGTCTAGTCGTCGCCTTCTTAGATCTTGATACCATCACGGGCAGAGTACGTGCAAAAGGGTGGGTACTTCAAATTGGTTAGAGTTTTCTTCCGGGAAACAATTGAGAAATGGTGCGTAGAGATAGCAGAATATACTGTATTGAAGTAAACAGCAAGTTGAAATGCTATATGAAACTAGCCATCTCCATGGTAAATATGCAGTAAGAGAATATTATTTTCCAAGCTTGAATATACTATGTGTATGTACATAAGGTATTTGGTCATATTCATATAGCGATTATGAATTCACCCATTTTACATAGAAGATTAGTGGAGTTGGTGAACAATTATTTTCAGTGACAAACCCATAAATTTTATATAGGGTTGTTTTCTTTAAAAATATATTAAAAAATAAATTAAAATTAAAAATCAAAATAAAAATAAAAATTAAAGAATATGAAACATCCTACTAGTAAAAGTTACAATAAAAGTTCATATGGGTTTCGTATTATGAAAAAAATGGTAAAATACATTCGGTGTCTACACTGCTCAACAATTGCTCTCGACATATTCTACTAGATTAGGATAGCCCAGTAAGTGTTTAATTGTTAGGTTTTTAAAAAAATTGGGGATAAGGAATAGCTTTTTACCATTATATTTGGATATAAAACACAATAACAAATGAATTGCAGTCTAATTGAAAATATGTTTACTAATAGTAGTAGTGTCCTAAGTTCAAATCACATAGACTATCACACTTAAATTTTATTTATACCCATACGCAAACTACTACAGGAGGTTGGATAATTATTTTCCCAAATTTTAAAGGTGTGGCAGCCACTTTATAGATTTTTACCCATAAGCAAAGTAGCAAACTACTATCAGAATTTGGATAATTGTTTTCCAAATTTTAAGGATGTCTCGTAATACTTCTAAAACTCCATGAATCCGCCCCTCATTATTTTAGCAATAGAAAGCATGATGGAGTATTCATAGAGGATTGTGACTGAGTGAGAGGCAGTTAGAGCCTTGGCGCTCGGTGGTAAAGGATTCTTACTGTACATGTGGATTCTGTTTTTATCTAGATCCTCGTCATCTCGGGAGTGAGTCTCACTATTGGAACAAAGTTGACCATGCAATTTTTCATGAAAAGCCAGAACTATAAGGTGAAACTGTCAAGAACAGTTGATCCCAATAATTCGAGTTATTGGGAGAGGTTCAATAATGGATCTTATACCACTCACTAACACCTCCTCCTCAAACGAAAGCCAATCAACTCATAAGGGCTTTCGTTTGTACATGTATTGAATACGAGAATACATGTGCTTCACAAATGCGGTCACCGAGATTTGAACACAAGACCTCCCTGCCACAGAAGGCTCTGATACCATGTCAAGAACCAATTGATCCCAATATCTCGAGTTGTTGGGAGAAGTTTAATGATTAATGGATCTTATACCACTCACTTATAGAAACTTCCTTTCTCGTTTTTTAATTGCTTGCCCATGTCTGAGCCTCATTTCAGTATCATTTATGACTACGTTACATACACTATGTTTATTCTGATGCAATCACTATGAGAGCTAGTAATGTGAACTTTTTGTCTTCCTTGTGGACTAATGCTTTCTGGTTTGATGGTCATACAAGGGACTATCTCATTCGGAGACTAAGGTCGTAGAGCATGAGTATAAACCAAAGGTGCTATACCCTTCCTTCCTTCATTGTGAAAAGCTAGAAGCTCACTTTTTGGGTCATTTTTGGATATTCTGAAACAGGTTCATATTAACCTGTCTTTCACGGACGCCATTATCCAATCTAGATGCCCAAATATGAAGAATTTTAGAAGGATATTCTGAGCAACAAGAAGATGGACTAGTGCTTCACAATGAAATGTGCTCTGCCATCCTACAGAACAAGCTTAAGAGAAGCACAAGGATCCCGGCAGTTTCATTGTACCTTGCTCTATCGGCAATCACTCTATTAAGTGTTCTTCGGCTGATTTAGGTGCTAGTATAAATGTCATGTCATATGATATCCTCAAGAAAGTAGGATTTGGTAAGCTGAATCCCACTTTCATGAGCATTCAATTGGCTGAGAGATCTATCGTGCATTCTAAGGGAATAATAGAAGTTGTGATTGTGAAATTAGGGAGTTTAGTATTCCTTGTTGATTTCTTGATCTTATATATTGATTATGATGCTGACCTATCTCTTATATTTGGTCGACCTTTCCTTGCTACTGCTAAAGCTTTGGTTGATGTTAATGATGGAAAGTTGATCTTGAGAGTAGGAGATGATCAAATTATTTTTAAAATATCTGAGAGCATGAAACAATCTTCTACACATGATGATCTCTATACATGTCTAATGCATGTCTTGAACTTTGATGCTTCTAATGTTGACATGGATGTGTATGGAGGAGATCCTTTGAGTGATTGTCTCATGTAGGTGACTCTTATGCACTGTTGCCTCACCAGGTTGAGCAGACCATGTTTATTCAAGAACTTGATACCAAAATTGAGCTTGAGGGGTGTCCAACCTTTGAACTTCCAAAATTGGCAAGGGTCAAGTCTTCTTTAGAAGACCCGCCTGAATTGGGGGTCTGGAACTCAGTTCCACGGCCTTGGAACATGACCGCGAAATTCTGTTGCCACGAGTACTAAGCTAAAACTTGGGATTTTGGCTTGCGATCCAATTTTGAAGTTCGAAAACACAGAGAGAGAGAGAGAGAGCCCTAGAGAGAGAAAGTGACGAAGGACAACCTTGGGAGGATATTGTAGTTGTCTAAGGCTATTGGAGCTCTATCTTTCCCCCGTGGAGTGCCGATTCATCATTTGGAGAAAAATTCCATCATTCATATGATGATTTCTACATCCAGCTTGGTTTTTTCCACTTCTCCATGGAGTAAAGTCTCTTCTCGTCTAGGTACGAAGAACCCTAATCGTGTATGTTAGGAGTGATTTTATGAACCCATTTTCATAGATGATTGATTATACCATATTCAATTGAGGCATTATTTAGAATTGCATGCGTCATGATCTTGCTTTAACCTGGAATAATAGTCTCTGTATAGGTTAAAAGAGAAACCTGAATTGAGAGTAGTGAATTAATTGCTTTAGTCGAGAAGTCAATTCACTGCTCTGTATTGGAATTGAAATCCAGTAGGGAAGTTTTGTGTGTCACCCACCGGGTATTTTAACTGAGAGGGTCTTGAATTCTTTGTCGAGATTCCAGTATAACTATCAATTGAACTGAACTTGGGGAAGTACAAGACTTAATTGCAGACTTAACTTCAGACTAGGGGGATACACACTTGGGTTTCTTTTCTCATACTTGAAAACCAGAAAATTTACTGCTTTCTTGCTGTTTCTACTTGCAATCAAGTTCACCCGAGTTTCGACTACTAGATAATAGAATTTCACTTAGGACTCGGGTTGATATTTAGAACCTTAACCACTATAATGCATTTCTAGATTACGATTACACTTGGTCATAGTTTAGTTGTGTTGGTTTTAGCGAGTCAAGTTTTGGCGCCGTTGCCGGAAACAACTAGGTTATTAAAGAAACGTAAAAATCTGTTACTTTAGCATTTACCTTTCTGCATTTTCCTTTTTCCCTTGTTTTCCTTCACAGGTTTTGTTTCCTACACGTGGGCAGGTACTGCATGACTCGTAGCCAGTCATAAGACTTATTGCCGTTGGATCAAGAGATCGAAAGAACCTTACACCAGCTCAAGAGAGTGCTCAAAGAATTACTAGCTGCGAAGGAAGATTTGGATTGTCCTATCTTGGAGGATGGATCCGAGAGAGACCAAGAGACAGAAACAAAAGAGAAGATAGCACAACCGAAAAACCAGGTGGGGGGACCCGAACAGTGCTCAGCAACAACCAGAGGCTCGGACAATGGGGTACTACCTGACCCTAGGGTTGAGGACTTGAGATTTACTATCCAGCACCCTCAAGTTGCTGCAAATAACTTTGAGGTGAAGATCTCTGTCATTCAGATGTTTCGGACCTCATTGTTGTTCTGTGGATTGGCAGGCAAGTGTCCACGAGAGCACCTCAATCGCTTCCACGAGTTGATCGTCGAGATCAAGATCAATAGTGTGATGCAGGAGGCAATCCTGCTTTGCTACTTCCCCTTCTCTATGGATGGAAGGGATAGGGCATGGTTGGATAAACGTACACTAGGCTCAATCACCTCATCGACCAATCTGCTTAGGGATGTTCAAATGGTTACCATGGTAATTACCAAACCAAACAAGCCAGAATTCTATTAAGAGCTAATACCACTAGAAAACCCGAACTATTAAGAATATGTCATTTGTGTCCTAAAGTATCCCATATGACATTTGTATCCCAACATATTATAGATTTGTGTCATTTTTGTCCCAACCTATTATAGTTTTGTGTCATTTATGTCCTAACCCGAACTATTAAGAATGTGAAATTTGTTAAATACTAATGGTCAACGCCGGTAAACTCTAACGGAAAAATAATTTAGGACACAAATGTCATATTAGATACTTTAGGATACAAATGAAACATTCTTAATAGTTTGGGTTTCCTAGTGGTATTAGCCCTTCTATTAACCATGGAATATAATATCATAACCAAACTGTCCAAACTAATACAACAACCAAATTAACCAAACTAATGTTTAATCGGTTTGGTTAATTGATTAACCAGATTAACCAATATAACATGACTTAATCATTAAGTGAGAAAATTTTCGGTTAATGAATCAATTCACAATTTATATAATGAATAAAACATTACAACCAAAACATAGTTATAGTTAACCCTTACAAAAATACATGCGACTAATACAATTTCTTACCGTCAATATAAGTATTCACCTAACAAAAATATATGTCAATAGTACGGAGTTGATTAATTGTTGTGATTGTATGAATTGAATTAGTCTCTTAGCAATTATCATAGGTTGAAAAATATCTTCCTTTTAAGTTTTCATCATTGTATGAGTTTTATCCAAATTGGCGTTCATATATCATGGTGTATACTCTACAAATATAAATATACAGTATATAAACAATATTGAGCTTTATTGTTGATGAGCCTAAAAGGAAGTTTGGCTCTAGGGTGGTTATGCCGAGTATTAAGTATGTGTATATAATATATATTACATATGGGTAATTACTTTACTGGTTAATTTAGATTGATTGGTTAGAAGTGTATGAAACCAAATCAAACCAGCTAAACCAAACAAGCTAAAACTTTTAACCAAACGAAAACAATTATTCAAATTAACCAATCCAAATTAGGCAAATACTACCGGTTAAAACGGTTACCACGGTAACCACACCGATTGAACACCCCTAGATATGCTGAGCAAATTCCTGAACCACTATCCCCCCCCCCCCCCCCCCCAATTGAAGACAATAGATCTGCATAAAGAGATCACTCACTTTGCATAGGAGGAGGACGAGACCCTCAGAGATTCTCAGGAGCGATACTCATGACTCTTCCAGAAGTGTCCCCATCATGGGTTCAATGACTCCTTCAAGGTGGGCAATTTCTACTAGGCCCTCTTTCCTAAAGACTATCAGTTGATCGAATCCACGTGCAATAGCAATATGCTGACTAAGACACCCCCAGAAATGAATAAACTATTTGAAGACCTGGTGGAACAAAACTATTACTAGGGCGCTTCAAAAAGAGGTCAGTGTGTTCAAGGCCGAAGTGTGTATGCTTTGGTGGCTCGACCATCAGTACTGGAAGCTCGAGTTGCAGATCTAGGAATGGCACTTGACCGGAGTAGATTGTGCAGACAACAACCTTATCGGCCCAGATAGGGGCAAAACTTTCCGCCGCAACAACAACGAGCGTATCAGCAGCCAGATGCATCCCCTTTGACCCCAGCACAAGACGATCCAATGTCTGAGCTGAGAGATATAATGAGCATCTCGCCAGCTCCAGCACTCTGAAGTTTAGTAAGATGAATCCATTAGTGGAGCTGGCAGCGGGGAAGTTCATGGAGCTAAAAGCTGGTCAGACGAACCAACAGGCTATCTTGCAGGACAGCTAGACCAAACTCGGGAATGTAGCTCAATTCAGGGGCAGAGTTACTTAGAAGGTAGGGTGGGCCCCGACCCCCTGGGAATAGTCCGGGCCCCTAGGACCTTAAAGATATTTAGATAAATTTGAATAAGTAGGACTTGACTAGAAAATTAGGTCATATAGCTATTATGTAGTCTACTGTTAGCTAATCTAATTTTTAGTGTGAAGAACCCATGTTCAATTCATCGCTACCTCACATTTTGCTTTATTTTGAGTGATTTCAATGATTTTTAGACTATATTGAAAGAAAGATAGAAAAAATATTTAGTTTTAATGTTATGTTGAGTGATTTTTCAATGATTTCAAAAAACATTGTATACTTTTAAAGTAATTATATATAATTTTTTTATTTTTATTTAATTATTTTTGGCCACCCAGTATCGAAATCCTGGCTCCACCCCTGCCTCAATTTGTGGCACACAGATCCCTGGGGACCTTACGTGCTCACCTGGTGCCTAACTCGTAAGACCACCAGTTGAAGGCAATCATGCTCGTTGAATAGAGAGCCCGACCACGATATTTCCCTATATAAACTCAAATTCCACGATAAGACCCAATTTTCCACATTTTTTCCCATGATCACTAGACCTCTGATTGCAAATCCATTTGCGGATCCGTCCTCCCCTCTACCAAGAGCCCCTTTGCTAGAAAGTTGGGGTCGTTTGGCAGACTTTTGTCATCGTCGGCCACCACCTTTGCCGTCGTCATTGACTTTCTGGCCAGTGTCGGACGACCTCTCCGATCATCATTCTTACGTGGTTTCAAGTTCCTCTACCATTCCTCACCTTCCTCAACGATCCTCCTTGAGTTTCCAGGTTTGTGCTTGACAGTTTCTTTGTCAATTCTGGAAAATCGGGTTGTAGTTGTTAGGAGAGAGAACCATAGATTGCTTGGCTTGTTTGAACTAGGGCTGGTAAATGGTTTTGTCGTTAACGGTGTAACCGGTAACCGTACAGGTAAACCCGTTAACCAAATGAAACGGTATTCGAATGAGGGAATGGGGGAAGAAAAAGTCGCCTCAAATCCCCAAGGATCCAACCCTCCCCAACTAAGTAATCAACCTAGGACCTAGTAAGTAATTAGTTAATAGTCTATTACTTTATTTGCATCGCTCTCTCCCCCTGCCTACCGCACGACGAGTCACGCCACCTGATTCCTCCTCTGCTCCTCGATTACAAACCTCGCCCGACCGAAACCCAAAGAATCTCCGATCTCTCCGTCGCCGGAGCACGCTCAAGCCACGAGACACAACTCAGCAGCCCAGTACGACACCTCATTCTCTCTGTCGGGCTCTGTTTCCGTCAACCCCGTCAGCCCCTTTTCCATCGATCCCTGTCGCCGCTCGAAGCTTAATCGCTCGACCCAGCAACCCATCAGTTCAGTTCGTCCTCTCCATCGATTGCATGTAATGAAATTTGATTTGTGATTTTTTAATTGTGTCATTGTTTATGTTTCGGTGGGCCGGGGAGAGGAGAGCAGCCTTGTCTGTGTTGGAAGATTGCAGCCGAACAGAGGATCAATGGCCAACTTGTTATTGCTGAGCAGAGGATAATGGTAATGGTCTAATGGAATAGAAAATCCCCAGTCCCCTCCCCACCCTTCCTGTACACTGTCACCGACTCATAGCCTTTTGTCGCGGAATTAATTGGCGGAAAAATGAAGCAGAGTGGGAGCGGGCAAAAGTTTCAGCCTCGTCATTTTGCAGCAAAACGAGTAACCGACACATAACCTGTACCGTCCCATTCCGGTAGCCAGTTTACCGAATCAATTTCGGTATCGGCAAACGACAGCAAGGTGATGATATCCGGTATACCGGTATCCGGTCAAACGGTAACCAGTTACCAACAGTTTACCAGCCCTAGTTTGAACTAGTTTAGGGCGAGGGCTGGGAATGCATGCGGTGTAGGGGCGGGCATTTGGTCGGTTTGGTTCAAACCGAACCGAAATAATGCATACCGGGTCCCCGAATTCCATCAAACCTCAAAATGAATTCTAACCGAATTATAATTCGGTTCGGTCGGTTCAAACCGAATTATAGTTCGTTTCGGTTTTTCATGCAAACCGAACTTGTGAGGTTAGCTTGTATCTTCTCTCTTTTAAATTATTTATCACTCCTAATGTAAACAATAAATATGCAATTATATGCATCATCAATGATAAAATCAAACATTTCAACATATAAGTCATAAAACACTAACATGATTCAAATATTTAAGTCTCATAATAAGTAGAAACATAAAAACCCACCATTTGGAGCTTGCAATTATAGTAATTCGGTTATTCGGAAATTCGGTTCGGTCGAAAGGACCATGAATTTCGTAATATGCCCTGTTACCTTCTGAATTCTGAACCGAATAACATTAATTTGATTTCGGTTTAATTTATATTTGGTTGGGATCGATTCGGTTTGGTTTTACCGAACCGTATGCCCACCCCTAATGCGGTGTGCTAGATGGTGGTGTGGTTGTGATTGCATAGTTTGACTTGTTTGCGTCAAGTCCTGAGAACATAAAAAGTCTGTGTTGCCTGTGTTTTCCGCGTTTTATTATGCAATGCTGATATTTTGGCCGTAACTAAATGCCCTGGTGGCTTTTAAGTGTGGGGGAACTGGTTCTCCCGTGCCTTTAGTTATGTATCATGGTTTTGCTTGGCTCCACCTATGGCTCATCTGTTCAGCAAGATAATGGCGATTTGTCATCGATATCAATCACTGATGTCCGAGACAGGACTATCCAGGAGCACTAGTTCCTCCACGCACATGTTCTCCAGGTGTTTCACTGTGATGAGTACATCTACCATGCCATTGCCAACCGCCAGAGCCGGAGATTGCTTTGCTTGAATGCAGCCACCTACACTGAGCTCGTCTGGGAGTTCTAAACCACATTCCACATTGCATGAAAGCCCCAGGTGAGCGTGGCGATGCCCTTCATATCTTGCTCGGTGGCGCTGATCGCGAAATGAGCATCGACTACCTGGATAAGGTGATGGGTATGAGCTTCCACCCCCTGCACCACCACATTTTCGAGCTAGCCACTCCCCTCGACGTCAACCTCGACGACTTGTATGATCAGATCTGTCTACCTAAGCACAAAGCTGAGTTGTTTGATGCGGGGTAGACCAATGCCACCACTTGGCACTTGTAGTGCCAGATCATCCAACTCATTCTCACCCGATCGATCATTCTCAGTGCCACTTCTTTTCACAAGATCACCAAGAGAGCCCTTCAGTTCATGTACAGAGTGACCCAATTGGCCCATCCTCTGCATCTGCGACCCGTGGTGGCAAAGACTCTTGCCAAGTCGGCGAAACACTGCTCAACCTGTTATGTGCCCCCTGATCTACTTGCTGGCCCAAGTCGGCGAAACAATAAAACATTACTTGTATGTGTTTATAAAACTTGAAACCCCCCTAAACAACTTTTACTTTTCATTGCTTGTTTTCTTTTGATGCTCACTACTTGCTTTACTAAAAAATAACCTAAAAGTCTTTACTATTCTCCTTTGATCATGGATTGTACGGTGTGAGTAGTTATTTATTACAAGACTTTGTGTAATACGACCCTATGACATCCTGGACTTTTATCACTTGTATGAACAAAACCATCATCAATAGGTATGCATAGTTGCATCCAACTAGGCAGACAAACACGAGGCAAAGACATATCATATAAGTGTTTTTTTCCTATCCAACCTTTCATGATATTATAAGAAATATTAATAGCACTTAGTAGATGATATAGGCATCAAATGGTTAAGCTATATGATGATATAAGCATTGAATAGCATTATTAACAATGACCAAAGCATCTCATTAAATCATAGAAAGTAGATGCATTAAGCAGAACAGAATTCACATCCCTAAAAAATGAACGATTTAGGTGTCCATAGAGAAGATTGATGACACTACCATCAAGGATGAAGACATTTCCATGAAAATCTGACAGAATATCTCCTCTCCTATTGTTGCTAACTCGAGACCACTAGGGCCGAGTGTAAAAGCTATAGCCTAAACCTCTATCTATAGTACATGGAAGGAGGGACATTTTAGAGTATGTTCCTCCTAAAATTAGGCCCAAAAGAGTCCTCGTGCCACTAGGATGTTGATTGCTTGACTTCGGGCCAAAGTAAAGCTATTGCATAATCTTTCGTGGACCTAGACCATATGGCCCAACAGCAGTCACCACCGCCGTGACATTGTTTCCTCCAAATGGTCTAATTTTTAGTGGACAACTCTATTTTGGGCTTATTGACATCCTCCTCAGATTTTAACTCATTTGGCTTCGTTTGACAAATCAGCTTTCATATATGTGGTTCGTTAGGCCATCAAATGAACATTCGAAGTACAAATGCATCTACGTTTGATCTCAGGACCATGTATTCCCATCCTCCTTCTGATCCATTGGTGATTCATACTCCTCTTGAGTGTATTATATCCCTGAAATATACAAAATAAAACCAAAAGGCTTAAAATACTACAAAACACACTTAAGGTCTATCTTACGCACATTATGAAAAAATATAATATTTATATGAAATAGTGTGAAATGTACTAAAGATGCATCGATTGAAGAGAAAAATGTATCAAATTTGGGAGTGATAAACACTATGATCTGAGCACTATCAACTGGTTAATGCATGATTTCATTTCATGTCACTAACTAATCAATTCGGGACAAGTAAGTAAGGATAACATGTCCTATCAACTTGATATGACATTATAAGAAAAACTAAGATAGCATATAATAGATGATATGACCATGAAATACCATAGACATCTCATTAAATCACTGAAAGTTATGCATGAAGCATCATGAAATTCACATCCCTAAACAACAAGGCTTTAGCTAACCATAAGGAAGATAGATGATAACACCATCGTGATGAAGACATCTCCATTCTGACAACACTTCTGGGTGAAGACCCTAACAAAGTCCAGGAGGAATTCTTCCACTTGATGGATGCTAACAAGATCAACTTCATGGAATAAATTTCTTGCTAGGAAAGGCCAGAACTTCGGATGAACTTATGTCAATCCCCACCTAATTGTGGGTCCTAACCTCGAGCCTTCTCCTATTTTGACTTACTGAATCTAGGATAAGCCTATATTTATAATACAAGAAAAGACAAGGTATTTGGGCGTTTTCTCCAAAAACTCATCCGAAACACTCATTTTATGAATTCAACTCGGATCCCTTGACTTAGGGACAAAGAAAGAACCTTTTAGAATAATTCAAAGTCCTTGGGCTATCGGCGACCACTCGGTAGTCGGACTCGTCGTTGGTTTCTTCATCGATCTAGGTTGATTGGTCCACAAGATATCTCCTAGATGAATTCGGGTTGAATCAGACTCGGTAGGCCCGACGACGGCGGAACGACATTTAAGCCCATCATGGTGGGCTTCCTCAATTCATTCTGATTTTCCCAGCTTTTCTAATTGAATTTGCATCATCTTTGTTTTAAGGTTTAATACACTTGTATATCCAAAACTTTCACGGTTGTGCCAATAATATCCAAATTTCCCGGAATACCACTTATACCATGTTTTAAAGTTGTTCTTTGCCAAATCTATCCATTTTCCAATATATTTTTGGTTAAATACACTTGTATATCCAAAAACACCGTTAAAGAATGTGAAGGAATTGGATATAAGTGGTATTTCGGGATATTTGGATATTATTGGCACAACCGTGAAAGTTTTGGATATACAAGTGTATTTAACCATGTTTTAAATAGGGTTTTAAAATACTATGCACTTACGAAATGAGTTCATTGTGATATCCATTTTCGACATATTTTGAAATATTTTCGACATACAGTCAGAAAGGGTTGACCACTAGTTATCATCCTAGTCCCACCTAGTACACTCTATACCCCCTTCGTTCGAACTCATATTTTGAAAATTTGCATAGAACGAATGAGTTCATCGTGATATATTATCAACGAAAATTCTGGAAAAAATTTCAGAACCAGATATATCATCCAGTTACAGGGTGGTAACTAGTGATAGATGGTGGTAAATGGTGATTAGTATATTCCTAATATCATTATATACAACTATTACACGATATGGTATATATATTTATACTGCCATGATACATTTTCATACCTCCATGGTATAATCTTAAATACTATGAAGCATTATTATCATGGTATAGACTAGTAATATAAGTCTCATATTTCTTTCTAATACATATCAAAGTAGACTTTATTTTGAAGAGCTCGAATAATTTGATTATTCTATACAAAAAATTTAAATTCTAAAAGAAATATATCCCATTAAATTTATTGATCAATAACTGACCAAGTTACGTTACTGAACAAACCCACTGCCAAATTACTTCTTGACTACATTTGTTTTGGTCGGATTGTTGACTACATTATTAATATGCTAAAAAGGTATTCAAAGATAAAAAAATTAATTATTAAGTTTCCTTATCTCCGTAATTTTTACATTAATATATTGCCTTATTTCCTTTTCTTTCTCCATCTTTTCCATCTTGTCAAAATTCTCTTATCTGTGAGCAATTATGAAGTTGCCTTATTAACTTTTGCTTTTCACGTCAATATTTCTATTGAGGTGTTGAAGAGTACAATGAACTTTTCTTATAAATAGCAAAGCGAAGTACAAAAACTATCATATAATTGAGAAGACACAAATCTAAAATATAGAATTATATTCTTCCTGTTACCTTGTTTCAGAGAATCTGCACTATACTTCTTGTTCTTCCTTCTATTCATCGCCTCATTAGGTAAAACTTCTTACAATAATTATGAAAAATTATGCACCACAAAAATATTATAATAATCGTAAAACAATGATAAAATATTTCTGACGGTTCTTTTTGGCCTCTCTTTGCATTTCTCTTTAATTAATTTCATGAATTTTATTTTGAAGCAATCATGTAAATGGATGCATATTATTAGTTAATTTATTTCCTTACGGAAAATTAATTATACTTGTTTGCTAATTGAAAAGACGGAGACAAGATGGTAGCAGAAGCTAAAGACTGCCACAAGACATGGGATTGCACCACCACTGATAACTGCTGGGATGACTGTAAGAGCCGCTACGGAGGGATAGGACGTTGTGACGACATAACTATTCCTTTTGTTCCTAGACAGTGTTTTTGTTCTTATAAATGTTGAGAAGAAAGGAAATTATCCATTATGAATCATTCGTACTAATAAGAGAAAAGTCATAAAGTAATAATATATGTTAAGTGGTAACCCAAATGTGTATGACTGAGGGTTTTATCATCGATGCAACACAAATTAGGAGAATGACTACACTTTTGAAAATTTCTCCAGCCGTACTTTTGAGATAAACCAACAAGGATTGAAATTTATCACTGAGGAGAGGATGCCGACTTTTCTAATTATGACATATTCTACCTAATCTAGCCTAGTCCATATATAAGCTAAGTCAATTCAATTTTGCACCTATAGATGCACATATGCATGTGGCCAAATGGTTCTATGCTATCCTAAGTAGTGATGACAATTTCTAACCTGACTCACGCGACTGACATATCCCGATTTGTTTTGACTTGGAGTAGCATGAGACGAGGCAAGAGAACTGCTTCTGACTTGTCCCACCACTTTCTATCTCGATTCGCATCATTATTTACATGTATTTCTCCTCCCGGCCTTTCTAAAATCATATTTTATCTCGAGTAAATTTTAATACATTATATTGCAACTATTTAGACTTGATTATTCTTTTGACTATATTTCTCGTTCGTTTATGAAGTGATTTCTCAATGTGTTCTTATAAAAGAGTTAAATATTGACGTTCTTTTTCCAAATAACATATAAGATTGGGTAGAGCCGCCCCGCCCTATACAGCTCTGGGATTACACAACATGACCACATTTAGTATGGGGTGAGTAAGGGTGTTGAGGTATCCACCCTGTCTCATTGCCATCACTACTCCTACATGTAGTCCCGGTCAAAGGTATTTTCTTTCTCCAAAGTATTAAGCCATTTAGTTGCACTCCTTTTGTCACAGTGACTAGGAAATTTGTTCTGGTACATGTTGGTCCGCTTCTAGAATTTGTATGATGTTGTAAATTCATTAATTTGCTGGAGGTCGAACAAAAGAAAGATCGTTTTCCTATCCTCTGTTGAGGCAGAATATTGAGTCATGGCGAGTCAGACTTTTGAGATATTATGGTTGAGATACATACTACACGATATACACATGTATATATATTTCTACTCCCACTTCCTTTTGTTGTAATAGCATGTATGCTATAACAAAAGAAAAACATTTAAAAAAATTATGATACTGAAAAGAGTGTCATACCAAAAAGCAAAAAAAGTATAGATATTTATCTTTAATCAACTCAAAAGTCAACTTAGAAGATGAACCAAATGAACTGATGTTAAGAGATCACACACTACTATCAAAGAAACTAAATAACCACTAGTCGGCTCTCCAGGCAAGAACACTCAACATTTCCATATTTACCCCTTTGAAAATTGTTTTTTTTGTAACAATATAGGTGGAGGAGGTTAGGTGGTTGTCGATTCCGGTGAAAAGGTTTGGAGAGACGGTGAAGGTTGAGCGTTTGGTAGGCGGGATACTATTTTATCTTTAATCGACTCAAAAGTTAACCTAGAAGATCAACCAAATGAATTGATGCTAAGAGATCACACATTACCGTCAAAGAAACTAAATAACCCACATGTGAGCTCTCCAAGCCAGAACACTCAACCTTCCCACATTTACCCCTCTGAAAATTGCTTGCGTAACAATATAGGTGGAGGATGTTAAGCGGTTGTCGAGTCTATTGCGAAGTTTTGGAGAAACAGCGATGGTTGAGCATTTAATAGACCAAGACACTATTTAGACCCGTTTATATTAGTTGTGTTTTTCCATCTGAGTTCGACAAACCAACATCACTCAAGCTTTCCATATTTACCCCTCTTAAAGACACTTGTGCCCCATATTCACTCAAAACTTATATGTTTAAAATGCTTCAGGACTTTGCTACGGTGACATGCATGTCACCATAACTTGCACTTTTAGGTCGACCTTATATAGGATTATGTAGACCTAATGTGCAGTTTCAGTTTTGTGAGGTTCAACGACGCGGTTGACCTTTTATAGCAAATGGTCGACCTCTTTGGGAAGCGATGTGGGTGGTTCTTTTGCTCCTACAAATTACGTTTCAAACCAACAGAATTAGTCATAAATAATGATAACAAGGACTCATAACTTCATAACACATCAACTAAACAAACTAACAAGAAATACAATAAAACACAAATCATAATTGTTCACACATAACTAAAATCTAAAACCACATGATATCAATCCACAATCGTTTTTAACACTTAACAATAAAAACACACAATCTAAAATTGTCGAGTTCCTACTCCTGTCCCCTCTCTCCCTCATCCACATTTTCTTCATTGGTGTTGCTAGCATTATGGTAGTCGGAAGTGACAGTGACATGCATGTATCTTCCACTGAAAGATTGAAACTCATCCCGCATCTCATTCACGGTCACCTGCAATGTGCTCATCTGGTTGGTCATTTGCCCCATGTAGTCGTACATGCCATCCATGTGATTCCCAAGAGGTCGGCCATTTGCTATAAATGGTCAATCGCGTCGTTGAACCTCACAAAACTGAAACGGCATATTAGGTCGACCTAATCCTATATAAGGTCGACCTAAAAGTGCTAGTTACGGTGACATGCATGTCACCATAGGCATACCCAATGCTTTATGGTAGTTATATTATCTAAGTCTATGTCAAGAATTCTGCATCGCTTCTACACATTCAATACTACAATTTGACATGCAATAATTGCACCAATGACATTAGGCTTGCGATTTTAAAATTATTCTCCTTTTATAAATATATTAAAATTGAATTAATTATTAAAATTGAATTAAAATAATAAAAATATGAAAATAGAAGCACCAATTTAATACCAAAATATATTTAGGAGAGAGTTAGTAGCTTAGCTAACTGTGGTAGAAAATTCCTATGATTTTTCAGATTTAAACTTCCTATATGTTTATAATTTAATGGGGGAAGCACGAATCGACACCTTCCTACTTTAACTATGGATGTAGTGATTTTGTAATGGGGGAAGTACCTTCGCCATTTAACTATTATATTAGATGTAGCGAAAGTAAGCCTGGTGGTTGAGCATTTAATGGGTAAGGTACTATTTGGACCAGCTTACATTAGTAGTGCCTTTTCCATCCAATTTGAGCAAACCAACAACACTCAATTTATTCTTATTACGCTTCCAAAAATTTCTCTGGTGTAACAATAGAGGTAGAGGAGGTTAGCTGGTTGTCGAGTCTGATGGAAAGTTTGGATAGATGACGATAATTGAGTGTTTAGTGGGCAGAGCACTATTTGGTCTCATTTACATTAGTAGTGTCTTTTCCATCCCCATTCGGAAAACTAACATCACTCAAAGTTCCCATATTTATCAATCTCTTAAAGACACATGTGCCCCATATTCACTCAAAACTTATGTGTTTAAAAATATCGTTACTTTATGGTAGTTATAACAATTAAGTCGATGTTTAGAATTCTACATCGCTTCTACACATTCAAGAGTGCAATTCGATTGCAATATTTGGGTAAATGACATTTCAGTTGCTAATTGTGGTGGAAAAGTCCTATGATTTTTCAGATTTAAGCTTCCTATATAGTTTTAATTTAAAAAGATCACACAAATATGTTTAGTGTAACTAGTTACGTGTCTTATCTTTTTTTAAAGAGACCACGATATAAATCTCATCACTTATGTATTTTTGTAAATAATAAAATAATAAATGATTGTGAAGACGAATCTACTCTTCCTACTTTCACTATGGTTTTATGCCTGTGCGACTCTTATTTCCCGTCCAACTACAGTTCCTAGCTGACAATAGGATGCAATTTGCAGAGGTGTATGTTGAGACAGAGGAGTTCAGGGAAACTCATTCTCACCAGTATTCTTATGATTATGGTTTTACATGAGGGTATGAATGGGGTGGTACTTCAAGCAACTACAGAGGAGGTACTTTTGCATGAGGGGTGCCATGTGAAGAATACCCACAACGTATTGAGCCTATTCGTTGATTCCGAAGGCATTCAATGGCCTGCTTGGGGGGCAGAGTGGGCTGACATTGAGAACACATTTGATCTGGGTGTACTTCGCTTAAGCAAGAAAACGATGTTGGCGGTGCATGTAAAGATGATCCTCCTAGATCGAGCTATCCATTCGTCTCCAACGACGAGGAAAGTGAGGAAGATTTGAGATCAGTGAACGAGGAGGAAGATACGAACGACGAGGTGATGTTCCGTGAGCTATCTATGCCATACTACACAGAGACTCCATATTAATTTTTATAGGGTCAGAACGATGCTCCCGATTTTCTCCCTATGCTAGTGCATAATCTGACAACCAATTTGGAGGTGGGTATGGCGTTCAGTTCGAAGGACACTATTGAAGATGCTTTTAGCGAAGAAGCCATTAGGCGGAATTTCAAGTGGAGGGTAACATATTATGACGGGAAACAACTACATGTCATATGCAGGATTAATGTTGGGGAGGGTTGTATGTGGCAACTACGGGCTGCAAATATGAAGAGAAAGGGTGCTTGGATAATTCGCACGGTAGAGAACAACCACAACTGCTCCTCATCCATGCTTTCCCACGATCACCGCCAACTTAAAGCAAAGAAATTGGGGACGACCATTAAGCACTTGATCAAGGCACAACCATATATCAAGATCAAAGCTATTATGTCGAGGTGAAGGATTGCCATTCCTACACGATTAGGTACAAGAAGGCATGGCATGAAAATCAAAAGGCCATGGATGAGGTGTATGATGATTGGGACGACTCATACACATTACTCCCTAGAATAAATGGTTTTTATGAACCTTATCTTGGATGTGATCAACAAGCCACGGGATCGATATTTGCCCCGAATTCAGTGGTGGATGCCCACGTCCTTGGACTTCAGTCTGGGTCGGCATGTTGAAACCCAAACGTTCAAGAATCAACGGCCCCCAGCCTTCTTTGGTTTTTCCCGAGTGGCCGATGATGGCCTCTCCAATGACCGGCAACTTGGTTAGGATGACAATGTCTCTGAGGGTGAACATCATTTTCCCCTCGAAAAAGTGGAACATAAGTGTTTCGAGGCGCGATTGCCTTGTCATTGAAGTCAGCAAATCATTGTCGATCTCAATCTGCATGCTACGACAAGAGTCGATCATGTAGTTCGGGCAAGCGTGTTGTCCCTCTATGAGTGATGGGAAGAAGTGATTCCTACAAAAAAAATGCAAAAAATACCAAGTTATTAGTCAAAGGAAATCAAAATAAAAAATTTTAAAATACTGAAATAATTAACAAATTTATAGGGTACAGATTCTCTACCGGATTGTTGTACCAAATTGCACGAGAGCGATGTGTTGTTTGCTCGGTTAGATACTTCGCATCCCTTGGCCCAGGATCGATACACAATCAGGGATCATGTATATGGACACCCATAGATAAAAGAGTTTGAATAAAAACTTTAATATACAGCTAATTTTAAAAATAATAAATAAAAAAATCAAAACCAAGTGGGTGCCCTTTCATCCTCTTCGTCCATTTTTTTCCGAAAGCCGGAGAAAGGTTCGACAGTTTTTAGAGCGGAGGGTTGTACAAAATAACTTTAGTAATTCTCTCTAATGCAGAAGATCAGACTTAACCGCAACCACAGAGCATACTTAGAACGAAACTAGAGTGGAGTAATGAAGGGAGATGGAAGAATTGTATGGTGGTATGGTTGGATGGGGGAGGGTGGAATTTATATTAAATTTCAGCAGGTCCTTCACCGCCTTCGAGAAAGACAGTGATGGCCTTGTTATCCACCTCAGCGATCCGCATCGTGGTGAGCCTCCACCGTGGTCGCCCGATGTAGTGAAATGAGGATTTCCCTAATTCGATGGTTTGCCTTCATCGTGTTTGTTAAATGTAGTGAACACCCCATTGTCCACGTCAACGATCCGCGCCGAGGGGATACTTCATCGTAATCGTCGGATACGGTGAGACGCGGATTTTGATTTTCCTCCCAAATTCAACTTCTATAGGTGTTCCTCCGTAACTTTCTCTCTATAAAATCTCTATTTTCTCTCTCCATAATGTCCCCCAAATCTAGATAAAAAATTCTTCATTTATTCCTTCAGCAGGCTCCAAACGCGGCCGCGTTTTGCAGCCCGCATTCTGAATCAGCTAGCATTTTTTTTCTTAGCTTTCTGTTTCACTTATGTTCTTCTAGGGACAAAACGTGAGCTCTTCTAGACAAAACACGATCCAGCCCGTGTTTGGTGGAGTCCCGTATTTCTTCTCGACATCAAAAGTGCAATCTCCAGCTTCCAAAACACGGCCGCATTTCTCTCCTTACTTATCCCGCATTTTGGTTGGCCAGACTCTGTTTGGCATCCCTTGCTTTGGTAGGCCGCGTTTCTTCCTTCGGACTCAATTTTGAAGTACCAAATGACCTCCGATTGATCCAAAACTTTCGCGCCTAGGCCTCCCTTTACGTGCTAGGACATGAAATGTGACAATTGAACTTAACCAAGCGTAAATTATGCTTGAGGAGTAAGAATTCATGCTCAATTGACTAATGAATTAGGGGATACAAATGTGTGATTATTGTGTTAGTCATGCATATATGAGGCAAAGACATATCAAATAAGATTAGTTTACTATGCAACCTACGATGATATTTAAGAAATCATATAGTAGCACATAATTAATTAATTAATGATATAAACATCGTATGGTTAGGGTATCACAAAGCTAAGATATTCAAATAACATAGCCACCACATGACAAAGGCATCTAATGGTATAATTAACAAACATCATAAATTCACAATGAACAAAACATCTCATTAAATCATAGAAAGTATATGCATTGAGCATCATAGAATTCACATTCATAAAACAATGAACGACTTAGCTGGCCATAGAGCAGACTGATGACACCTTACTCGTTAAAACACAACACCAAACTACGACCAAGTGTATTCGCAGAATAGAAATGCAGTATAGTGAGTTAAGTTTTATTTGTCAACCTGGGTCCTAGATTTACTGTATACTCCGTGCAACTTTGTTATCTAAATGTAATAGTCGAGTGAAATGGACTTTAAACTAAAGCAGAAATAAAACAGCAAGTTGTTCGGTTTTCAAAAGCAAGAGAAGAGTCCTTTCAAAAGTTTACACATAACTAACAACTCACCAGTGATTCGAATCCCTCACTGCCGGTGTGGTCCAAGGACGCCGTGATTTTTTCTTCCTCTCCTCACGCAAGAAGTCAGATCTAGCAAAACGAGACCAAAATAGGAAGGAGAGAAATGAAACCAAACCCAAGATCCAAACCCAAAACATAGGAACAAAAATCAAAGGGATCGGAAACCTTACATAAATAATCCGCTTTCCCCATCCTCTATAGTCCCTCTCCTCGGCATGTATGTCGCACGAAGCCCGGGACCGCCGGAGACCCTCTTCTTACCTATTCCAAAACCCAAAAACAGAGAGAAAAAACACAAGAACCAAAGCATATGGTCAGAACTCAGAACCCTAAGGATCTTAAAACTAAAATCGAACCTGGAAACCCGACATGCAAGCACAAATACAATTCTTACCAAAGAAGATGGTCAGAAGTCAGAGGGGATATGAGTATAGAAAAGCTCCTTGAGCTTAGGGTTTTGTAGAGGAAGAAGAAGAAGAAAAAAGGAGGCGGTATGATTTGGGAAAAACCTGCAAGAGGATCTGTTCTCCTTCATTTCATATATATATATATATATGTCTCTGAGATGTAAACAACAAGCAAAAGTGAAAATGGAAAAAGAAGTTAAACTGAAATTCGAAACAAAACAGTAAACACAAGACAGGTGTCTTCTTGTTGTTGGCTCGTCGTAATTCCACCCAACGGTAAAAGTTCAGACTCCACGACGCTGCGTTTTGTCCATCGTTTTAGTGTTGAGTGGAAGGGGAGGCAGAAACGAAATGTTTCTGCCTCTGTTCTTCAAAGCTCTGCATTCTCCATCAATGGTTCCAGCAACAGCAACCAAGACCAGTGAGATACATTCTCACTCTTCAGTTTCCAGATCAGATACTCCCCCACAAGCTGGCGAGTAAGCATTGAACACTCCCAGCTTGTCCAACAAAAACTTCAAACGATATCGAGTAACCCCTTTGGTAAAGATATCTGCAACCTGATCATCTGTTCTAACATGACTTAGTTTAATGAGTCCAGGCTTTAACCTTTCCCTTGTAACATGGCAGTCGATTTCAATGTGCTTAGTCCTCTCGTGAAACACTGGGTTCTCTACTATGTGTAAGGCAGATTTGTTATCACAAAATAGAGGAATTGGAAGAGGTACCTGGACTCCCATTTCCAACAACAGATTTCTAAGCCATTGAACTTCACAAACCACTTGTGCCAAAGCCATGTACTCAGCTTCAGATGATGACCTTGAGACAGTTGTCTGTTTCTTGGTCTTCCATGTGATTAATGAGCTGCCCAGGAATGTGCAATACCCAGTTAATGATCTCCTAGAATCAGGGCAACTTGTCCAATCTGCATCATAGAAACCTTGCAGCTCCAGCTTTGAATCAGCCCTGAACATCAGTCCTTGTCCACGAGTCTGCTTTAAATACCTGATCACCCTGTGTGCTTCTTGTAGATGTTCTACACGAGGAGTGGCCTGAAACTGTGCAAGCTGCTGAATTGCATAAGTTATATCTGGTAATGGTAAGGTAGTGTAACCTTCCAATTAATCTCCTGTAAACAGTGGCATCTGGTAAGGGTTCTCCTTGAGTGGCTGAAAGTTTCACATTGCAATCTACAGGAGATAAGCAACCTTTAGCTTCAAGAAACCCTGTGTCTGTTACCAATTCAAGACAGTACTTCTTCTGACTCAAGGAGATCCCTTTGTGATCCCTCAACACTTCCAAACCCAAAAGATAACTCATTTGGCCAAGGTCCTTGACCTTAAATTCCTTACTTAAGAAGAGCTTTAACTGTTCAATGTCTCCTAAGTAACTTCCAGCAATCAATATATCATCAACATACACCAAAACAACAACCACTCTTCCTTGTATCCATCTGACAAACATAGAGGAATTAGAGGCAGTTTGAGAATATCCATTCTTCATCAATGCAGTGGTTAATTTGGCAAACCATTGCCTGCTTGCCTGTTTGAGGCCATATAGAGACTTCTAAAGTCTATAGACCAGACCCTGGTCTCTAGGAACATTAGCACCAGGTGGGATTTCTAGGTAAACCTCTTCTTCCAAATCACCATGTAAAAAGGCATTGGACACATCCATTGATGTATGTGCCAATCCTTGGAAGCTGCAACTGACAGAAGTGTTTTGACAGAATTGATTTTGGCCACAGGAGAGTAAGTGTCCAAAAAGTCAATTCCATATATTTGAGTGTAGCCTTTTGCTACAACTCTTTATTTGAATCTTTCAATAGACCCATCAGACTTATGTTTGATCTTAAATACCCATTTAGAACCCACTGCCTTCTTCCCTTTTGGTAGTTTTACAACTTCCCAGGTTTGATTTTCCTCAAGTGCTGCCAACTCTTCATTACAAGCCTGATTCCACCTAGGATCTTTGCAAGCTTCTGCATATGATGTAGGTTCCTCATTCAACATAACACTCATGGCAAAAGCCCTTTGAGAGGGGGATAGCTGCTCATAGGAAAAATGCTGCCAAACATGATGTTTAGAGCAGGAAGCTGCCATATTGAAATGATAATCTTTGTGCCAAGCAGGCACAGTTTTGATCCTTGAAGATTTTCTAAGAAATTCAGCTTCATCAGTGTCATGTGGATCAGGGAAAACCTCTATCTCTGCATCCTCCCCCCCCCCCCCAGAATGCAAGTCATGCACAGTAGATGGTGAAACATCAGTAGATGGGGAAACAGCAGAAGGAGAGTGTGTGTGAAAGGGCATGGAAGCATTCTGAGGAGTAGAAGAAGATGAAGAAGGATGAGCAGGAGAAGAAATAGAAACTAGGGAAGGTGAAGGTATAGGGAGAGGAGAGAGTGTGGGAGTAATAGGGTCTGAAATAGGTGGTGAAGATGGGGAAGTGGAATCTGTAACAGAGAAATAAAATATGGTTTCATAGAATGTGACATCACGAGATACAAAGAAGGAATGAGAGTTGATGTCATAGAGCTTGTAGCCCTTTATCCCTGAAGGAAAGCCAAGAAAAATGCATTGCCTGGCTCTACTATCAAATTTGGTCCTGTCCCTATGAAGTGTGGCAGCATAACAGAGACATCCAAACACTCTTAGACCAGTCAAACTAGGAGGTTTGTTGTATAAACATTCATAGGGGGACTTGTTAGAAAGAACAGAAGAAGGGATACGATTTATAAGGTAGACAGCATGGAGGATACAATCACTCCAAAACTGCAAAGGTACTCCTGACTGGAACCTGAGAGATCTAGCCACATTCAAGATGTGTTGATGCTTTCTCTCAACCCTGGCATTCTGCTCAGGAGTTTCAACACAAGATAGCTGATGCACAATGCCATGTGCTGTGTAAAAATCATCCATATGGAACTCATTTCCCTGATCACTGCGAATAATTTTGACATTCTTGTCAAACTGCTTGGAAACCATTACACGAAAAGATTCCAGTAATGAACTGGCTTCAGATTTGTACTTCATAAGATAAGTCCATACACCTCTAGAGTAGTCATCTACTATAGTAAGAAAGTAGGAATAGCCATCATGGGATCTAACTGCAAGGGGACCCCATATGTCTACATGGATAAGTACAAATGCTTCTTGAGCATGACTGGAACTAACAGTAAATGGAAGCCTTTTATGTTTGGCAAAATGACAAGTCTGACAGTGGAAAACTGAGGTCCTATTACAAGGTACTAAAAGGTTTTCTTTCTGCCTATTTAGATGTCCTAGCCTCCAGTGCCATAGCTCAATGTTGTGTGGAGAGAAATTGTAGGTAGCAGCTGCTTGTGGTGTTTGAGGAAGGGAAGAGGTCTTGAAGGTAAGTTGGTAAAGCCCTTTAATCTGTTTTGCCAAACCAGTCCTGTTGTGGGTCATGAGGTCCTGAATTTGGCAAGAATCAGATTCAAAGTGTAAGGATATAGGAAGGTCATTTGTGAGCTTACTAACAGAAACAAGATTGAAAGAAAAGCTAGGCACAAGGAGGACATTCTCTAAAATGAGGCCAGTAGGAAGTTTGACTCTCCCAATGTGACTGACAGTCACTTTGGTTCCAGTAGGTAAGAAGACAAATTGATCAACAACAGGTGTAGATTCAATGAATAAGGATAAACTGCAGGCAATGTGGTCTGAAGCCCCAGTATCAAGTATCCATATCCCTAGAAGAGACTGACATTGGTGCTGTAAGTAAGAGGAAAGAACATACTTACCAGCACTGTTGGGAAAATGAGGGATGTGTTGTGCAACAGAGAAGGCATGATGGTTTATGGATGGATATGTAGGTGGAGAAGGGCTGGGCGAGGAAGAAACAAAATGCAGCAGAAACTTCAGCTTGTTGAGCTCTTCTGATGATAAGCCAAGACTGCCAGTGTTGCCTTGTGAATGCCTTGTGTCAACAGTTGACTTAGAATCAGAAGTAGAACTATCACTGTCTGTAGAAGAATCACCTTGTGACACTGCTGCAACAACATTTCCTCCACCCATCCTGGATTTCTTATTCTTCAGCCTGTAGCAGTCTTCTATGTTATGATTCTCTTGCTTGCAATATCGACAGAATTTCTTCCCATCAGACCCTCCACTAGTTTTAGTTTGATTACCAGAAGAGCCTGTGACAGCAAGAGCTACTGCTTGAACTCCCTTCGATGTACCCTTATCCCCCTTGATCTTCTGCTCATGCTGAAGCAGATCGTTAACAGCAGCATCCACAGTTGGAAGTGGTTTCATCATCAGAAGTTGTGTATGAACAACTTCATATTCTGGCCTCAGGCCCTTGAGGAATCGAATCAGATATTCTACCTATTGCTTTTGCTTAAAAGACTCAACTGCAGGACAAGGTCGAACTCTAGGAACCATACAATCACACTCAACAATAGGGTTAAACTGTAGATTTTCTTCCATCAATCCCTTGAAAGCAGTGTAGTACTGAGTGATGTTGAGGGTTCCTTGTTTACAAGCTATGATCTGGTCTTGTAGATGTGCCAGCTTGACTGCATTAGTAAGTCCAAACCTCCTCTTAAGTTCATCCCACAGATTCTTTGCATTCTCATGCTGCATAACACTTCTTCGAATTTCCTTCTCAACAGAATTCAAAATCCAGCATAACACAAGTGTATTACAAGCGTCCCACAATCCATAATTAACATCATCCACACTGGGCATAGTGATAGAACCATCTATAAATCCAATCTTATGCTTGGTTTTCAAAGCCATGCGAATAGCACGCTGCCACATCTGATAATTTGGGCCATCTAGGTTCTCAGACACAATCGATTGAGAAATATTTTCGTTTGGGTTTATGTAAAATGGGTTACCAAATTGCAGATCTGGGCGTCCTGAGTTGCCATTGTTGCTGTTGCTCGTGGTTCCAGACCGAGGGTTGAAGGACCCAAAGGGAATAGTGTTGCCACCAGTGTAGGGAGACCCAGGAGGTGGTGAGTTAGACATTGCAGGCGAAATCTGGACCTTAGTCCAGCTCTGATACCATATAGAAAAGCTCCTTGAGCTTAGGGTTTTGTAGAGGAAGAAGAAGAAGAAAAAAGGAGGCGGTATGATTTGGGAAAAACCCGCAAGAGGATCTGTTCTCCTTCATTTCATATATATCGTCTCTGAGATGTAAACAACAAGCAACAGTGAAAATGGAAAAAGAAGTTAAACTGAAATTCGAAATAAAACAGTAAAAACAAGACAGGTGTCTTCTTGTTGTTGGCTTGTCGTAATTCCACCCAACGGTAAAAGTTCAGACTCCACGATGCTGCGTTTTGTCCATCGTTTTAGTGTTGAGTGGAAGGGGAGTCAGAAACGAAACGTTTCTGCCTCTGTTCTTCAAAGCTCTGCATTCTCCATCAATGGTTCCAGCAACAGCAACCAAGACCAGTGAGATACATTCTCACTCTTCAGTTTCCAGATCAGATAATGAGACTGCAGTTCAGAAGCGGAAGCAGAGATAAGACCAGAAAGAGGGAGACGAAGGGGGACAGAGATCATGCGAGGGTGTCTTGGAAGTGAGTTCGTGACTTCGACAATACTTATTTAGTGAAGATCTTCTCTTTAATTATTTTTTAGCATTCTTAATAAGCAAATTTAAACGTGATCGAATCTTTACTTTATTATTAGTCTGATTACTCCTATACTCTAAGAGCATCTAACATTTGTCCCTTTTTAGATTATTAATTAGGTTATGTCGTCATACTTATTTAGTTATTTTCCCTACACAATCATTTATACGAGATCTTGGTCAATAGACCGTGATGGTCTCTTAAATCAAAATTCCTCCAAAATCGTTAATTGTCCAATAAAAACATCAACACGCTTTGTTCATGAATTCTAGTATTCAAACCTTAAACACGAAGAAATAGTATGTGTTCGGGTTTCTTTTTATAAAAAAAAATCAATTAAGATCGAACTACATGGACTTTTAGGCAACCAATAGATTATAGTCCAACTAACAAATTTTCTTTACTTTTAAAATAATTATACTCTAAACAAATTGAATCGTACAATTAAAAATGCATAAATAAAGCCAAATAACAAAACACCAAACCCTTTAAAAACTTGTTGATTTAAGCAGTATCAATTTAACGCATTGTGGAATACACTTCCTCATAACTTACCTTACTATCGAACTCAAAATCCTAAAATTCACAGACTAGGTCACGGTTTTCAACACCTAAAGTTACAATTGAAGAAGAGTGTTTGATCCACTACAAGTATGACCAATGGCAACTCCTAGCATGACGCCATTGGCCCCCGATTTTGAGGGATGGTTGCTACAGTATCACTCTATATATCATGACAATATGACAGTAATAATGCTACGGCCATCACATGTTTTAGAGGAATAATTTTTTCTCAAAATATAACAAAATATATATTATTATTTATATCAATTTTAATGTGTTCTTTCTAGTTTCCATGCCAAAAATTAAATTTCGAGTTGAAACAAATGAGATTTAAACATATTAAGAAGATATGAGAATATAAAAAATAAGTTTTGAGTGGTCAAAAATATCTTCAAAATAAGGCTTAGAACGTTAGTTAATTAAAATGTAGCCTTATTTTCTTTACATTTCCATTTCCATTACCTCTTGCCTTTTTTTTTTCTCTATCTTTTTCATTGGTAAGCATTTATGATGTTGACTTATGCCCTTTTCTTGTCCGTTTCATGCAAAAAAAAATTCCCACAGATATTAAGAAAATAAGAGAATATAAAAAGTGAATTTTGACTGGTAAAAAATATATTAAAAAAAAAGGCTTAAAACGTCTCTTAATTATGATATAGCCTTATTTTCCTTACTTTTATATTTTCTCTTGCCTTTGTTCTTTCTCTATCTTTTTCATTGGTAAGCAGTTATGATGTTGACTATGTCTTTTTCTTGTCCGTTTCATGCAAAAATTTCTTCTGACACATTAAGAAAATATGAGAATATATAGTGAATTTTGACTAGTCAAAAATATCTTAAAAGATAAAGGCTGATGCAGCCTTAATTTTTTTTTTTTACTTTTCCATTATCTCTTGCCTTTTTATTGGTAAGCAGTTATGATGTTGGCTTAAGTCCTTTTTTTGTCCGTTTCAAGCAAAAACTTTCTTCTGACGCGTTGAATCGTACAATACTGTTTTCTTATAGATAGCACAACTAAACGCAAAGACAATCAAATAACTGAGAAAACATAAAACTAAAATATAGAACTACCTCTCTCCTCTTCGGTTTTCCAAAGACATGGCTAAGTCTTCAGTACTATGCTTCTTGTTCTTCCTTCTGGTCATCTCCTCCTCGGGTAAAATTGATTAAGACAAATATGAAACATATGAAAAAGAATCAGAGTATATGAATGTATAATATTAATTTATTTATTTCCTACATAAATTACTTATACTTGTGTGATTATTATAAAGGTGGTGCAAAGATTGTAGCGGAAGCTAAAGACTGTGGAGCGACATGGGATTGCACCACTGAAGAACGTTGTTGGGATGACTGCAGGAGTCGCTACGACGGAAAAGGACATTGTGACTACCGCACTCATCCTTTTGTTCCTAGGCAGTGTAATTGTTCTTATAAATGTTGAAGGGGAGAAATAATATCCATTATCGATAAGTTTTACCAATAAGACAAATGTCATTAGTAATAATATATATGGTAACTGGTAATACCAATGTGTATGCCTGTGTTATGGTTTTATCACAAACCTTTTCTTCAACTCTTCCCGAAGAGTTACGACATTCTCATGTTGCATCCCACTTCTCTTTATCTCTTCTCAATGGAGTTCAGAATCCAACACAAAAAAGAGTGGAACAAGCATCCCACGAACCATAATTAGGGTCACCGAGATCTGCAATAGGGATGGATCCATCGATAAACCCAATCTTATGTTTAGTTTTCAAAGTCATTCTAATTGCTCGCTGCCACATCTGGTACTCTATACTATCTGATTACCAAACAACATATCTTGACGCCTATTTGTTGTTATTTTTGTTGTTGTTAGATTGTGCTTGATTGCAATTCATGAGTACGAAATTTTATGGCACCTGCACTCAAGGGAATTCCATTAGTAGATCGAGGTGGTGGAGTTGTTATCATCGAGGTCACTGGATTTGTTCCAAATTTGATACAATATAGAGAAGCTTTGAGAGCTAGGATTATGAGAAGGAAGAAGAAGGTTGGATTTTTCTCACTCGGCTATGAGCTGGCCCTCTTTTATTCTTCTACTATGCTTATGCCATGTGTAAGCAGATCATCAGCAGTAACAGTAGCAAGTACATAGGTGTGAGCGGAGCGAGGAATTGAAGGCAAGGTGAGGTACTGTCTTCAACTATTCAGTGCTTGGATGACTACTCGGGATTTTCGTCAGTGATCCACACCTTTTTGTGAAAAATGTTTTGAGAATATTTTTCATGTGCATACTAACTCTTGATGTAGTGTGAGCTATCCACAGGTGTGGAAAGTTGATGATATGTGTATATATGCGTGGTCGTGTAACTTGTGAAGATTATGGCATGTAAAAGTATGGTATGCAGTTACGGAGTATGAAATTGTGACTATGACTATGAAAAGCCAATGTATATGTTATTGGGTATATATGTATGTCTACAAATGCAGTGATTCAGATAAAATATTTTGCAGGTTTAGTTGCAAGAACTGTTAGCCCAATAAGCGAGTAATTCTTATCGAATTTTAATTTGAATAAATTTTGAGAATTATTGTAATACCCAAGTTAAATTCCGCTCAATTGCATGCACAAATTGATTAGATAATACTTACAGGATATGGTGTTACACACGGATTGATGATGTATCACGAGTTTATTATTTTAATTACTATTGTTATTTGAGGATATTCAATGAAATTTTAGAGCATTTGGGGATTATTGAAAATATTAGGGAGATATGTGATTATTATAGTAGTTGATATATAGGAGCGGGAGACTATAAGTCTACCTTGATTGTCATTTTGGAGTAATTAAAAAATAAACAGCCAAATTAATCAACGTCCCAATTTCCCTCTCTCTATCTCACGTCCAAACCTCCTCTCTCTCCCTTCTGTTCATCCACCACAAACACCAACCCACCCACAATTCCCATCATCACACGTCCATATCATAGCCAAAAAGGAATGTAGGAAGAATCATACATTTTGCAGGAAGTACAGATGATGTAGAGCATGGTTGGGTTGCACTAAGGTCTGAATTGGCTGGTGAGTTTACCTTTGTTTCGATGTCCATCATGGAGGAACAAGAAGAGCCAACAGGACTGCAAAGTGTTGTTTGCACTTTAGGAAGAAAGTTACAAAACAGTACACACGAAGTAGTTAATTGATAGCAACATTGGTTGCTGGTCTTTTTACTGGCGGGGTGTTGTTACTGCTGCGGGTCTATTTACTGGTCGAGTGTTGGTTTGCTATTGTTAGTCTCTCATTTATTTGTATTGTTTTCTTTATGTAATTTGGCCAAAGAAGAGCTTCACTACTATCGTTTAGTTAAGTGTAAAAGTCGAGAAGACATGGGGTTTGAAAAGAGTGAAGTTGGCCACATGGTGGTCATCAGTTTGTTAAACCCAAATACTCATCTTCTCAATCATATGGGAAGAGTAAGCATATGTCAAGTTGGGGGAAACTAAGGCAGAACACTTGCAGGTCGGCTAATAGAGTGAATTGAGGATTTGTTAAGCATATAATACAGTGGCTTGGAAGCAAGCTTGTTATTGCTATGCTGGATCAACAATTTGTGCAGCATGGATAGTAAACTTGAGGATCGCCTTTGACATAGTCAAAATGCTAGTCTTTATTTCTGAATCCCATGCCAGAGAATGGCTAACTTGGAGCGAGGGAGAAAGTATCAAGCTTCTTTTGGGATTGAAGTTTTTTTAAGCATCCCGACAAGGGAGTACTGAAGACAGAACGGAGTAGTTAGCTGAAAATAATAACTTCAATGGTTGCCTCTTTAGTTTCTTAGCAACTGTAATATTGTCCATCTTGTATATCGACATACTTGAGCATTAAAAATACCTGAACAAAACTTGGAGTTGATTTTGCAAGGCATAAATGACTCCCAAAGTCCAATATTGAAACAAAAGAAAGTTAAAATGTGGAGGTTTTAACCCCACAAATTATTCTTCAGTAAAACGAGTTATTTAAATTAATTAACACATAAATAATATACAAATACTGCAATCTCAAATAATGAGTTATTCAGATTCTATATATGTAAAAGAGATCCTATACATAAACAATTAGTTATTTGATCCCACAAATACCACATTGTCACCTAACCCATTTCATTATTTTTACATTTTATTTAGGATGACAAGATCAAAAAAAAAAAATAATAAAGTAGAAAGAACACATTAGAATACAATTTCGTAATTTTTAATATCAAATTACATAGAATCACTTCTCTAACGGAACAATCATATATGATGTGTCATATAATTTTGGGTCAAGCAAGCGGGTTCGGTCATGTTCAGGTTGGGTTAGTCGGGTCAAGGATTAGTCGGGTCTCGGGTCAATCAGGTTGTGGGTCAGTAGTGCTACGGGCCAGTCGGGTTATGGGTGGATCGGGTTGGGGGTCAACTAGATTATAGGTTTATCGGTTGCAGGTCGGTCAGGGTACGAGTCGTTGACTTTTAGTCAAAGCTGGTTGTAGGCAGGTTACAAGTCGTTTTGATCAATCCGGTTACTCGGGTCGCGTTATATTTTGACAGCTCCATTTATGTTTAAAATTTTCTGAAGATTTGGGTGGATCAGGTAAGGTTTAAATTTTCGAACATTTAGTACTCAAGTTTAAATTTGTTTTAGAATGGCATCAATTCATTACCGGGTTTTTAACAATCTAATACTAGTTACACCGGTAAAATGTGAACAATTGACTATCTCGATTCATATAATCCCGACAACATTGCTATTAACCCTTGAAACAAATTTACACTATAAACCCTTGTTTTAATGTATCCATTATCCACAGATCAAGCATAATGTGTTTCCGCACTGCCTCAACCAATTATCAGTCTCCAAAAAAATGTTTATATGCTTGCTTGAAACAACAACTCACAAAACATACGCATTCAAAAATGAAGTTGTTGTCCCTTGGGATATACATTACACTCAAGCGGCTACAATAGGGAATGGTGTTTTTGTGTTAGGCGACACTGAAGGAAGTTGCAGCGTTCTCCACAAACTTTCTGGCACCCTTGAACCACCTCTTGTCTCCAGCTTGCGCCTTGCATATGTAGAGCTTCCCATCTTTCACGGCAGCGCTGATCAGCTGGTGCTTCCCGCCTTCATCTCCGTCGGCGGTCCTCGTCAGCACCGACACAATGTAGTACTGTTTCCCGCCCACCACTGGAGCTGATGTCTCCAAGATGTTAGCCGTGGCGACCTCACCAGACTGGAACCCACCCTGCATCACCACAATCACCGCGTTCCCAAATCAGCTCAATAACGGTATATGATCCAGAATTGAATATCTCTCAACAACTCGAGTTATTGGGACCAACAAATCACGAAATGGGAGCAACTGATGAGACATGGGAGGAGGGATACCTCCGAATCGGTCTTGCCAAAGTAGGCCTGCTTTCCGAGCAAGAAGCTGACCTGCATTTCCAGATATGAATACGTTCATCAACTACAGCCACAGAGTACATCACTTGGTCGGAATTCGGAATAAGAAATTGGTTACACTTACTTACCTGAGAGAGGAATTCTTCAGGGGTGCCGTAGTCAGTGATGGATTTCTTGTCAGTTGGGGTGACCATAACACTGACGTAGCTGTTGGCGTCAAAATTGTCCTCGTATCTCAAAACCTGCCCTGGATACTCCACCTCTTTGCTAGGGTTCCACTTTGCCGGGATCGAAAGCTTGAACCCTTCGCCATTGTAGGGCAAGAAATCCGTGTTCGTCTTTGGCTTCCCAAATATGTTTGCTGCCTCACATAAAAAAGAAGGGGGGGAAAAAAACCCATTCAACAAATTGTGACAAATATGTAAATAATTACAGATTTTCTTCTGCTGGATCTAGAAAATTCTCTACAATTCAATTAGCATAAATGTGCTTGGTTGAATGAACTACCGGATTCACCGTAGGCGGCGTCGGCAGGGGCGGTCTTGGAGCCAATGGCAGCGGCTCCGACGAGGAGAGTGAGGGCCAACCGACGCGACAAGGCGCCCTCGCTGCCGGCGTCCTGATCATCGGCCTGCTGCTGCTGCTTCTGGGCACGGCAGAGTAGCCTGCCGGCGGCGGGAGACGGAAGTCGCTGAGCGGTGGATGAGGCGGCGGCCGCTGACCTGGTGGAAGTTGTGAGGGCGGCGTGGTGCAGGAAGCATGCTGTGGAAGCCATTTGAACTGTTACTTACTCTTTGTTTGCTCACCCTGATCTCCTCTTCCTTATTTCCCTTGTGGAACTTTGGAAAATGAAGGGTGTGAAGAAACTAGTGATTGCCAATTGGCTGGTTTTGGATATTGAGATGACGAGGAGGATTAGATTTTGTGGTGTATGGGATAAGCCTGCTGACTGCTGAGCCTCTCACTTTGTGACACCTGGCATTTGGAAGGGGCCAAGCCAATGGGTTGAGTTGGGTTCGTTTCCCTCCTTTGTGCAAAGCGGAGGGGATGAGACACGGTGACAACCCCATTAGAGGTTGTGAGATTGACAACTTATTTTATAACCATAGGATTCATTCTCTCTCTTGTCTCTTTCTTATTTTTTTTTCAAATCAATGGTACAGATTGGATTAAGGGTATTTTTGGACGAAAAAAATTGACCACACTAGATTATTACCCCTATTAATACCTAAAACCCTACATTCTCTCTTTCCTCTCTCTCTCACGCCATCTTTTTTCTTCATATTCTTCTTCTTCTTCCTCCCATCTCTTCCCTCTCTCTCTATCGGCTGCCACCACCGTCGTCGCAGTCGTCCTACCGACCCGCCACGCCCTCCGCCTCTCATCACTGCTACAACCCTCTCGTCGTCGCGCCCTCCGCCTCCCAGCACTGTCATGTTCCTCGCCCCGCAGCCATCACGGACTCCTCCTCCCACCACCGCAAGCCACAGCCATCACGGCCTCCTCCTCCCACCACCACCGTCGCCGCAACCCTCCCGCCGCCCTCTGTCTCCCACCACCACCGTCACCACGAGGTCACCGCCTGTCCCCTGCCTCCCCCTTTCGTCATCCCTGATTTTTTTTTTCCAGATCTGTGATTTTTCATATTTCAGATCTGATTTTTTTGTGCTAGTCTCTAGTGGTACGCTACCAGTGGCAATGGTACCGCTACCAGTGGCAATGGTACCGCTACCAGTGGTACTGGTACTGCTAATGGTACCGCTACAAGTGGTAATGGTACCGTACCACTAGCACTGTTACATTTTTTAACGCACTAGTAGCGTACCACTAGCACTGGTATATTAATTACCAGTAGACTAATGGATTGGTACACTTTTTAACGCACCGGTACATTTTTTCAGGTTAATGGAGGGAGTCTGCCGGAGAGAATTCGCCGGAGAAAAATTCTGTCTATCAAAGCGGAGTGGCCGCAGGAGAAAGGAAGAGAGAGAGAGAGATAGATAGAGATATTAATGTATAGGATTTAAATTTAAAAAAAATGTATTTAATATGGGTTTTTAATTCCCAATCTGATTAATACAAAAAAGATAATTAATATATTCCTTTTTTCATACCCAAAATACCCTTGGTTGTCAATCTGACAACCCCCTTAGGGGTTGTTACCATATCCGGTCCGAGCGGAGGGTGAGGGAGGGGAGGTAGGGATGGCAACAAAACCCGAACCCACGGGTACCCACCCTATCTAACCCGGTCAACGCCCGTGTTGACGGGTTTTGGGCCGGGTTCGGGTTTAAATTCGCTACACTATTTACCGGGTCAGGTTGGGTTTGAGTTTAGATAAACCCGCCCCATGAGTACCCGTCCACACACATATAATTACTTTACCAGTATATTTAATATTCTAAATAATATATCTTCCTTAAACAACTAATATTCTTTATGTTTGTGGAGACATATATAATTTGTCTTTCTAATTGTTTAGGATGAAGTTGATATTATGAAGTGGAGAATGAAAAAACTTAGTTGATGAGGAAGAAGCTTTCAATTAATCTTATTGTTTATAGATGTTTATCTTTAATTTTGAACAATTTGTATTGATCATTTGATGTTTGCTTGTATGCTCTAGATTGGTGTTTTTTGTATGATTAGTTTGCATGAGAAAATTGATGTTAAACTTTTATTTTGAAATAAACTTGTTATTCTAAATTTTTTACCACAAAAACCCACGGGTACCCATGAACCCGCGGATACCCAGCGGGTTGGGTTGGGTTTGAAAATTTTTCAAACCCAACGGGTTTTACCCCGGGTTTTTTTTTGGCGGATAAACCCATGGGTTTGGGTTTGACAAAATCCGTCCCAACCCGACCCATTGCCATCTCTAAGGGGAGGGTTCTCATTCTCAATGTTTCGAACATCTGGATGAAGATTGGCATATAACTAGATTTTGGTCAAAACCACAAGAGCAGATTTGCTGATGTACGCCTTATTTGCCTCAAGAAAAATAATGGGTCATATGCAAGGTTGTCAAACCGGTTTATGTTGGCGCGCTAGTTTTGTAGGTGAAATTGTTCGATCGTGGCACAACCATTATTCATGTTGGTTATGCCGGTTTTAATAAAATACATGAGAAAAATGAAAATCCTTAATTTCAAATAAATTAATCATGAAAAAGCAATTAGAATAATTCTCTACCCACCAACACAAAAAAAAATTAAAGCTAAGAATTGGTAACTAATAGTAAATAATTAAATGCGTCAAAATAAAGTTAGGGATAGGCAATGGGTGGGTCAACAGCTAGACCCACCCGACTCATTACATGTTTGGATGGATGTGGTGGGTGAGTGTGGATCTTCGTTTGTGTCACCCACTAATTTTGGATGGGTGGGTAGAGAATGGAACGTTACCTGCAAAATCACATGATATATTAAGTTGTTAATGCACATTCTATAATAAAACACTATATTTTCTTATACCAAAACTTCAATCGTGATTGATTCAATTAAATTAAAATTTCCTTTTATATATTTTACTTGATTTACAACATAAAATCGATTATTTTAAAATATGATAACTATCAAAACAATATTTTGTGTTCGCAAATTAGACAATTGGTGTTAGGTTATGCGATAAACTACGTTTAATAGCTATGAATTTTCTTGATTTGTAGTATTTATATTCAATTAGTTTCAAGCAAACGTTTATGACTCATAATTGTTTAATTATTTTAAAATAATTTGACCAACCAAAATCGCCAAACCCACCCACCATCCGTTGTCACCCACCACCCACAAAGATACAAATGGGTGGGTGAGGTTATTTTTTCATCACCCACCATAACAATGGGTGGGTGGACTTTGCCCAAAATTCACCCACCCACCCATTGTCCATCCCTAATAAAAGTATATAAAATGAATTTAATTAATGTTTATAATGATTTGTGTAAAATATAGTATTAGATATATAATATATAAGGTTCATATATACAATAAAGTTGTTTGTAGCTTGTTGGTGTATAATTGACACTAAAATGAACATGAGGTACTTGGTTCAAACTCTATGAAGGGTGTTTATTTAAGTATATAATGTGTGTAACACTGAATTTCGATTTCTGGTCTAATCGGCCGGAATTTCCGGATTTGACCAAATCTCACTGGCATTGATCGGAATTGACAAAAGCTAAATACCAGCCCCTTTCCAGTTGGTTTGGTGAATGATACCAGTTGAACCGCCCAACAGAAAACTGGTTTGACAACCATGGTCATATGAGACAAGCATACGCATGGTAATACATGAATTGTTAATACGATTTTATCATTAGTTTCTAGAAAACATTTCATTGATAACATTTTTATTCTAATGAGTTGACTCAATTAATGCAAATTTATAAAGAGAGGGGAACGCTTGTCATTATTAAAAATCGGGTTGCTAGCCGGTAATTTCTCCTCACCACAAGCATCATAAAGCATATCACAATACACAAACCAGAAATCACAGTAAAACCATACAACAAATATCATAAAGCATACATAAAATCTCATAAAGAAACCTTACAACACTACAAAATTCATGAAGCATACTAAAAAACTCATAAAACATACCGGAAAACATATAAAGCATATCATAATCTCACCACATCATATAATTCATAAATCACACCATGAATACCAGCAAGCTTATAAAGCATAACGTAGGTTTCTTAAAGAAGACGAAAAGTCCTCGAAGCATACTAGATTCCTCATAAAACATATCACAAGTTCATTAATGTAGACCACAAGTTTATCAAAGCACATCTGATTCGGGTCTAATTGCACATATTTTACCCCTTGTTTCTTGATCGTTTGACTTGGTAAATAACGTACCCCGACCTATTTTACAATAGGTTGTGCTATTTTTGCTACATTTTAGGTCCTAACACGTGTGGGAAGGTCGATGATGAATTTCAGGACGAATGAGGGTCGAAAAGCGCCAAAATGTGAAGAAAGAGCTGAGGTCAAAGGCTGGGAGAATTTGTCACGGTCCATAGCCCGTGAAGATTGATCATTGGCCATGAAGATTGTAGAGGAATAGGAGGTTTTGTGCACCTCGTAGGCAGGTCAATTGTCACGGTCACCAAATCGTGACAATATCTCGCAGAACGTGACATTGGACAAAAAAGGCAGTAAACTCCTGCATTTTTTTATAATTAACTCATATGACTAACTTCGCCAATAGAACATATCAATGTATGTTTCGAACCATGGAATAATAAAACGTCAAATGACAATCGACCCTAAAAATGTCAAAAATAAACTAGCATTCAGCTCTCCACATGCTGATAAAGACGAGGTTATTCCACAAGGACTTCCATCGTGCTCTCTTGCACCATTCTAAAACTCTATAAAAGTGAGACCATAAGCACCCAAGGACAGACTCCTATGTGAACTTATCAAAATTTATCTCTCATTTCACTTGCCGGCCACAAAAAGCAATGACGTACTGGACAAATTTCTTCCCCATCAGTTTGTACTGTTATTTTTTCCCACACTTCAGGCAACTGTGCATAAATTGGAATTGCTTCTTTCGTATATCAACACAATAGAAAACAAAGTGTGTGCTGATGCGCAAAGGGAAAACCACTGCAAAAGCGAATGTATGTGGAAATTGTTAAAATTGTGGATAAAAGGTTAATAATGCGACAGTTAAAAGAAAAAAAAGAATAAATTCGACCCATTAAAAATCACACATTGATGAAGGTTTTTTAAATAATTATCCCACCACTGCACTATTGTTAATGTTATTGTTTGAATTCTTAACGAGTGACTACATCGTTATGACAATACGTGGATTACTTAATCTGAGGTTTCCAGCAACGTTATTAACACACTAAAGTTACAATTTTAACAATATTCAACCACATTATCAACCTATATTATTATGCCTTATCAACCAACATCGCAACTATTATTAATTATATTACTACAATTATTAACAGGAAATGATATCGCTATGAAAACGTGATAACTAGTACATTTAAAATATTTTCCCTCCCTTATTAACATTTTCAATTACTTTATTTAATAGGATTTTCAACTTC